ATCTCTGGTTGGTGAAGCATAAAAAAGAGCTGTCATGCCCAGTTTTAATAGGCAATAGGATTTCAGGCCCCGAGAGTTGTTTCATAGTCTGGCAGTGGACATAATGAAACTGGCCAGTGTTGCCACAAGATTTTCCCCATCAAGTGCTCTCCCTTGTCGCCTCCCCCAGCTGCCTGTCTGGTGTGCCTATTACAAAGGAAAACAGGGCATTTGCATTGGACTGAGCAGCCGCTCTTTATTAAGGGCTCTCTCTTTCAGCGTAAATGTTTTCTGAGGACAAGCTTGCCTTTCCCGAAATTAATAGGCAGCGCAAATGGAGCTATCCTCGAGTAGCGTTTAACGGTTCGGAGCAAACCGTCTGGATACGTATCTGGGCTAAAGTCTAATCTGAAGTGTGCCGTTTGACTAGGAGTGTCCCCACTTGGTCTCCTCCCCACAGCCCTTTCAGGCACTCGTTCTGCGCATTGATGGCAACGCACGCAAGCTGTATAGCAGCCGCGCTGTCCAAATGGTAATCCGCACGGCAGATGGGAGATGGAAAATGCTTCGAGGAGTCTAAAGTGTTATGGAAAGTGCTTAAAAGCCTTCCCAGCATTTGAGATCTTCTGCTGAGTTTCAACCACCCCTCTAGCATACGAGGAAGCTGGTTTCTGCCATGAGCAGGGCCTCCTCTGTTTCAGCCCCCACACTATAGAATTCTGTTCCAAGGGAAGTTCATGCCACCTCCTCCTCCCTGGTGTCTCCCCAGATAAAAAAAGCTTACCCTGTTTATTATGGTTGCACATCAAAAACCAAAGGTGATTTCTGCTTCCTGTGTTTTCTGGTTATTTGGGAGTGTTCTCTCTACCTTTTAGTGAAGTGTGCATTATATTTTGTTGCCTTTTAAATCTGAAGACTGTTGAGATCTATGAACAGTAGTATAAAAATATACAGTCGTACCTTGGAAGTTGAACAGCTTAGTTCTGGAAGGTTCTGGGTCCCCAACATCGCAAACTCAGAAGTGACTGTTCCAATGTGCAAACTATTTTTGGAAGCCGAATGTCCGCGGCTTCCGATTGGCTGCAGGTGCTTCCTGCAGCCAATCAGAAGCCGTACTTTGGTTTTCGAATGCTTTGGAAGTCGAACGGACTTCCGGAATGGATTCCGTTCGACTTCCAAGGTACGACTGTATTGCTTAACAAGCATGCCAACTCTATAAAGCTGAAGCCTGTGCTGCTTAAAAATAAATTAAAATTGGCAAAATATACAGGAAGCTCTGTGTGTGATGATATCTCTCTTCGCTACACCCAGAAATAATACCCTTCTCCACACGTACACTTTGGACTCTATACTACATGAATCAGGAGTATGGGGAGATTTCAGGAATATATGCCCTACGACTGGGACTCTGAACATTTGCATAGCAATTATTGTTCCCTTGTGTTGTGGTGCAATGTCTTGATATGCAAAATAAAAACAGTGTGGCTGAATCAGACCAAAGGCCTATTTGGAAAAGCATCCTGCTCTCACAGTGGCCAACCAGCAGGATTCCAGCAACTGGTATTGAGAGGCAGATTGCCTCTCATGCTGGACACATGCTGTGTGCTACACAGTCATAATGGCTAGTGGCTACCGATAGATAACTTTACCCTTCATGAATGTGTCTAACCCCTTTTAAATCCATCCATGGCTGTACCATCTTCAGGTAGCAAATTCAATACAGTGGTACCTCGGGTTACAGATGCTTCAGGTTACAGACTCTGCTAACCCAGAAATAGTACCTCAGGTTAAGAACTTTGCTTCAGGATGAGAACAAAAATTGTGCTCCGGCGGTGTGGCAGCCCCATTAGCTAAAGTGGTGCTTCAGGTTAAGAATGGACCTCCAGAACGAATTAAGTTCTTAACCCGAGGTACCACTGTAGTTTAACTATGTGCTGCATGAAGAAGTATTTTAGTTTGCCTGTCCTGGATCTTCCAACGTCCGGCTTTATTCGATGGCACAACTACACAACACGAAAACACATCGAAAAATTAATCGTACACAAATCTAAAACCAGTGGGACGATAGATTTGTATAAAGGTATTATGATATTGACTGCTTTATCTCTCAGGCAAGTGACTATTCAACCAAATGTTAAAAACGCAATACAGAATTAAACATTAAAAACTTCCCTAAACAGTGCTACCTTCAGATGTCTTTTAAAAGTAAGTTAGTTGCAAACTTTCCCCTTCCCTATCCCCACTAACCCTCCTGGCTTCTGAAGCTTCTCAACGACATGTTGGGGGACTATTTTGATTCCCCAACAGGAAAAAAAAAGTGTGCTGTGTGTGTTCTGTAGAATACCTTGCCATCAGTGGTTCAGCCTTTGGCGCACCAGAGGAGAGGCTTTTTAGAAAGAAATATAAACCATGGCAATGAGCTTGTAATTTATATTTTATTTTGCACAAGCTTGCATATATACTGCACATACATTCAGTTCAGAGAAGATGGAAGGCACACAAGGCAATTGAACTACTGTATCCTTTAAGTGGTACAAAGCAAAAAGGTAAAGGTCTGGAGAGTATACAAAAGCTTAAAACACACAAAATAAGATTCCCTCCCTCCCACCCCAACCCCCCAACCCCAAAAAACATTTTTTTCCTGATTTCTTTTCAATTTAGTAGCTGCCAAGCTAGAATTGTAATTCCCCGCCCCCCAAAATCAATTGTCTACTGCACCTTTTTTTCCCTCCATACAGACAGGGGAGTCTTCATGTTTTATCACATCATCAATTAATATTACAGTACATCCTTGGCAATACAAAATTGTACACCATCAAATAAATTAGGATAAATTAAACCAATAAATTATGCAAAGTCTTCAGAACAATAGACAACAACATCAACAAACAAACAAAAAGAAAATTCCACAGTTGAAATTGCCTCTAGCTAAAAAATAAATTTAAAAAAAAATTCAAAAATTGACTTTATTAATTCAGTTATTGTACTAAGTTCAAATTAAAGGGTCTTTATTACAAAAAAAAGTTTAATAATGCTATTTACAACATATTGCTAAATAATATAAAGGCAGTGTTTTTGTCACTTTCCTAACTATATACATATGAGAAGTAGCTGGGACAAGAGAATTTTATGCCTTAACCTTTGATTCTTCCAGATAAATAAATATATTTCTCTGAGTCTTTCGTCCAGATCTATATGGCCAAATATCTTCTCACTAAACGAACGTGTGCTTGTGTGTGCGTCAAAACCTACAGCAGCATACCTCAATTTGGTGCCCTCCAAGTGTAACTGGATTACAAATCCCATCATTCCTAGCCATTGGCGGGGCTGATGGGAACTGAAGTCCATCTGTACCTGAAGGACACCAGGCTGAAGAAAGTCTGACCTACAGTGTTATACTGTTATTAATGCCTTGTGAAAGTCCAGGCCATACATACTCAGGCTAGAATTCAAGGTTGAGTCTCATCCGGATTTGACTGTATATATCTTGTACAATTTTTAATATTTCTGATGGCAGCTGAGAACATAAACTGAGGGTCTCAGATGGCAAAAGGAAAACAAGAAAAATGCCTCAAATCACCACCTTTCCTACTTCGAAACAGACCTATTCCTAAGAAGACACAAAAGTTAAACACCAGCTTTTTTTTAAAATCCCAGCTGAAAATATGAGCATTTTCAATGGTTTTTTTTGTTTTTTTGTTTTTTTTTTTTACAACCAACAGTTCCACAGAAAAACAAAAATTGCATTTCCTTCAACAGAACATTTAAGTGCAATACAGTAACTGCTTACTCATATAAATCAGTTACATTCTTGAAAGGGGAGCTTTTTGAAAACAATGCCTATCAAAAAATGTCAAAACACAGAAGAGATACCCAAAAGAAGTCTTTGCACTAGAACATCAATAATTACTATATAATACACATGACAAATAGAGGAGGATTTATTTTTTTTAATTTTTGATTCATTTTCATGTACAATGCTCATTTGAGGGGGTTTGCAAACCACTTCTTATATATATTTATATTTATTTATTTATATATATTTATATATATTTATATCTTTCTGTTCTGCTGGTGAAAGTCCTATATTTAAAGCCACAAAATCTTCACTTTTATTTCTTAGTTACTATTAACCTGGAGGGAGGGAACCCTTTGCCAATAAATTATTTTGTGCACATGGGAAGGGGTGGGGGGGAATTCAGTAATTTTACAGAAACTGAATCACTCATGTCCTGGACACATGATGAGAGAGAGAGAGAGAGAGAGAGAGAGAGAGAGAGAGACCTCTTTTAAAAAGTATTGAGCTGGGTTTTAAAGAATGCTTTCAACTATCTATACAGTTACTGCAGCGTTTCTTATAAATTTAACAGATGTTCTCAGAGTGTAGTTATTAAAATCATGTGCCTTTTATTTGAGAAAAGCCGTCAAGCTGAATATATACATTGCTTTATAAAAGTTCCCCTCAGCTATAGATGTTCACCCACATACCTGGTACAGTAACAATGATTCTGCAAACTTAAAACACTTTAAATTAAATAATACTCAGAGGCACAAAAGCAAACCTCAGGATTATATGGGCGAACACTTCATTAAATAATTACTACATTCTAATATCTTTCACTTTTTAAAAACCATTTAATGTGAAGCGCTCCCATTACACAACCAGAGATACAGTAAGAATTAAATGTTTCATAGTTTCAAATAGAACATTCTTCTCACAAAACATAACAAATGTCTAAAATAGGTTCTTAATGTACATTGGAAAAAGGTAAGCTTTTCACTTCACACGCATATTGTGTGTGTATAAGCTTATATACATATATATATATCTATATATATATTATCGTATGTATATGTGGGTATATATGTATGTATATGTATACACATATATATATTACGTATGAAATATTGCTTCTATACTACTTTTTATTAGGCTAAGAAAACACAAGATCTGCACCACTATTACAAAAATGTTGGCTTTCTACAAGATTTTGTTGTTTTTTTCCAAAATTGAATGCCGCCCAAAGGACTGAGAAAAAAATAATTTGCATTATCAAACTGTTCTAAAAATTCTCTTCTTCAAAAACTTAGTCTCCTGCTTTTTAATTTTCTTTTTCTTTAAAAAGACACAAAATATGCATAGCTATCAACATCATGTCAAACAGCTGAAAAAACGGGGTGGGAGAGGGTGGGAGAAAAGAACCTAGCTTATTGCGGCTGTGAGGAAAGGGGCAGGAAAAGGTTCAAAAAGATGAAAATTGTTAAGCCACAGAAGGCACAAGAACAGTTGTACTTGTGAAGGGGAGGAAAAACTGGTGATTTGAAGGATTTTTGTTGTGTTGTTGTTCCCTAATCCTTCTGCTGGTGAATGTAAGGTCTAGGCACTCACTATAACCTCACCTTTGTCTACACAGATCGGGGAGGTGGAAGGGCCAGTGTTGGATCACAGCTATTTTTGAACTCCTTTCCCCATGTAAACCTTTCTTTACCACAACAAAAGCAGCCTGATGACCCAATCCGATGCACAGTTTTGCTCAGAAACGGCAGGGCAGCTGGTGTGTGTGTGTGTGTCTGTGTGAGAGAGGGGTGTGTGATTATTGCGGGCCCTGCTCCATGCCACGCCTGCGGTAGTTTGCTGACATCCCAGGCTCAGAAGCGCGGGGTCAGCAATATGCATAGCTGTCAACTTTTCCCTTTTCTTCTGAGGAATCCTATTCGGAATAAGGGAATTTCCCTTAAAAAAAGGGAAAAGTTGACAGCTATGGCAATACGACACCAGCAACTGCTATCGCTAGGCAAAGCTGCCGCAAAAGACACATCGTAATGGCAAAAGCACATCTGCACTACAAGCTCATGTCGGTTTTGCAGAGGTTGCAAAGGCAATGGCTCTCCTGCAACTGGGAACTGAATTCTCCCAGTTTTTATGGGTGGGATGTTGGTTGCTTGGTTGGTTGGGCATGGCCGCTTAACCTAAGGTTACCAGATTTTTTTCAATGAATCCGGGGACACTTTTCAACTTCCTACTAAATAGATGGATTTTGTCAGGGGACTGATTTGTAAATCCGGGGACTGTCCCCGGGAAACGGAGACGTCTGGTAAGCTTAGCTTAACCGACTTTGGGGTGAGCGATGGTCTTCACTCAGGTCTGCTCCCCAGGAATATATTCCAGCCAGTACTACTATACCCTGTATATCTGGAGAAGGAGTAGCTCACCTACAAAACCATTATTAGGGGCATGGCAGAGGCAGCTGCCTCAACTGCAATCCTATGTGTTTTTTTAGGTTTAGCATTCTTGCTTTCTTCATAATGGGATTATAATGGGCAGCACAGTAGGGAAAAACCCCTTCTGCACAAAAGACTTCCATGGCAATGGACATCTGTAGGATCAGGGTCAGATAATTATATATATATATATATATATATATATATATATATATATGGGGAATACTAAAGAGCAATGATGATGAAGACTACTTGAAGTACAGCAAAGATTGATGCTTTCTATTTTATTTTATGTGCCTTGGAAGGCACAAAGGCAATATGGCTATATAATGCAATGAAGTCACCATAAATCTAGCTGAATTGTATATGTCAATGTATCAGATGAAGACTTGCCTGTTTTTCCTTCCTTAGCACTCTTGTGTGTCATTCACTAGTGATTTGATGTATGCTACGTATAAATAAATAAATAAAATAATGCCCCAAGCTGTAGTGTTCAACCAAATTCAAATAATCACATTTTCAGTCAATAATAATTATAGTAGTGATAATCTAATCGCACAAAACCAGTAATGCTAACAATTAACAGCGAAAACAAAAACACGTATAAGGAAAATATTTCTAGAAGTGCATCTAATATGTATTATATGTGAAGTATGGCTTTAGCATGGTAGTTGTGGGTTTTTTATGTTTCTAGGTGGCTGAGTTCATACATAATGCAAAGGCAAAACATAGCCTAGCAAAAACAAACAATTGTGTCGGTACTTAGATGTAAAGTGTGGCTGCTTCAATCCTGCACTACCCAGAACTAAAACATGGTTTGGTTCAACGTTAAGTCTAAAGCTGAGTGGTTTGTCTGGAGCAAGACAAACCATTAGCCAGAGTTCAGACATAACACAAAACTAAACCATGTCATAACATGACAGTAGCAGGACCAGGAGAGGCGTGAAGAAACTATGATTTTTCCTCATTTGCACGTTCACGCTTAGCCATGGTTTAGCTTAGGATTACATGTGAAACTGGCCAATGAAACAGCAGACTCTGTATGTAAGCGATCGCTACAAAAATGGGTCCCCTCCCCAATTAATAAAGTTAAGTATATGCACAGCCCAATGGCAAATTGTTCTTGTGATAGCATAAGGGGAGGAAATAGCTCTTGAAGGCCTCATCTACATTTCCAGAAAGCTTCAGCAGAAATGTGTCCTAAATCAGATATGGAATAGTCCCAATACTCAATGAAGAAGCATATTGAGATGTTCTGAGCAGCAATGGCACAGCAGGACAGATAGCGCAGCAGTAAGTACTTCAGGCAAGACGTACTTGCTAGTGCAGAAATCTAGAGCTGCAGCCATTATTTGGGCATGGCATTAGCTCTGCCTCCAATGTCACTAAGCACATCTAGGCCAGCAGTGCCTGGAACAGGGACAAACCTCCTGAACATGGGGTTGCAGGAGATCATCCGCAAAATCCGACATATACAAATGTCCTAATGGTCTGCCCATCGTGCACAAATTAAAACAGTGGCAATTATGCTGTCAACTGTATGGCTGCAAAAAGCAAAACTGTTCTAAGTACTTTAGAGGAAGTCTGGAAGCAGCATGGCTTGCTTTGAGGGCAAAGCATACTACAACTAATTGGTGGTCCTTTGTCCCATGGTATTGGCTAAATCACCTACACTGCATAGACACAATTCACATCTGAAAATAACAGCAGGGGCTGCAATCCACAGAGTGGCAAGTGAAAAAGAAGCTTATGTACAATTAGGCGCAGTTCAGACATTCAATAGACCATAGTTTATGAAGATAGGAACAAGTGCCAAGCCAGAAAGCTCTGCCCTTGCTTCCTCACTTTGTGCACCTGCTTGGCACTTATATCCTGGTCTGTATAAACTATGGTTCATGTCCGAAACAGGGAACTGCGGTTTGATGTCAGGTTACTAGCCAGGTTCTTGAATGTGAATCAAACTGTAGTTTAAGATCCTGGTTAATAAACTGGTATCACAGCTCCCAAGTTTGGATACGATTGGGAACTAGATTTTAAACAAACCAGGATTGAAGTGCTAAGGATGACATGCAAGGGGAGAGCCATGTTCCTAGTTTAAAAAACCATGGTTTACTGGGCCAGGGATGTTACATATGAAAAGACCCATTGGGCTTTGCTTGTAGTGTATGTTGCCTGAATGTATTTGCTTGTATTATTGTGCAAAAGTCTTGCACCAAGAAAATGGGTACTCAGCATGGATAAATTCTGTTATTGCATGTGGAAGAGGGTCGCTAGATTGTGGTCCTGGTGTCCTAGTTTGTTTGTTTTTAATCAGCAGGTTTTTAAGGCTTTTCACTGACAACTACTTTCATCCATTTCTGTCTCTTCAAGCAGTATTTGTAAATGAAGCATCTTTGCAATGACTAGGTCAGCTTTTTCAAAATATATATAATGTTGCATGGGGTAAACTTTCACTCTTCAAACTCAAAAGACAATTGTTTAATAAGAAAAAAACAACGAAGTTCAAGAAATGGAGTAAAAGGTAGGGTCCTTTAAAAAAATTAAATTGCTAAGCTATAAAAAAGATACCTTGGCTAACTGGTATCAAATCTGTATCAAATTGCCAGTAAGGAGTGGATAAGGAAAACTGCTAGCCCAGATAACAATAAATTCTTACTGCATCTGTACAAAAGACAACAGAGAAACGACAAATACATAGTGCCATAGAATATAAGAAAACATTACTAGACACTACACCTTTGCAAAAATGCCCAAAGAAAAAAGGAGACCACTGAAGAAAGCATTTAAAACTAACAGCGAGCTTTTAAGAAAAAAGCTGATTATTGTATCAATTCACTGCAGTTGTATTCATTCAACTCCTATTACTAATTTTCCACTCTAAGGTAAACTTATTTTGGTCACCTTGTGGAGAAATTCCATCTGCGGCTGCTTTAAAATATGAATTCTGTTTCAGTAAATGTCAAAAATCAGGGCCAACTAGATCTGCTAAGTGCTGTAGTGGTCTGAAAATAGGCCACGCTCTCCTGCCCCTCCCCAAAATCTGGCTTATATAAAACCTGAATACAGTCTACAATTGTGCTCTTATAGCTAGAGATACCTTGATTTAACAAATCCATATAGGGAGTGGCTAGATTTGGGGACGGCTTATATTCAGACCCATATTTTTTTATTCACTCGGCGCTGAAAATGGCCGCCATGTGTCTATCTCCTCACAGCAACAACATAAAGCAATTGGCTATTGTGGTATCTTCCTGCCCCATGCAGGTGGACAAGCATAGAACATTATGGGCTGCATATAGCGATGTATAGTAGATATTACAGAGGGGCAGGAATATGTATATGGTGGCCATTTCCATTGGGTGTTACAAGGAATAATCATGTCTCGTTTGGCCTTGGGTACCTGCTGAAATCATATTTGTCTGCAGCCAGGACTCACATTGATCCATGTGGCTCTTCAACGCAAGGTGGTGGTAAAAAGGGGAAAGTTCTCTTGTTGAGAAGTGACAGGAAAGCACTGGTAAGCCCCATTCTGGTAAGCACTACGCTCTTTTTTTATTTTATGCCGCTTACTTTTGTTGTAGAAGAGAAGTGGTTTGATCAGGTTTACTTCCATGTTAATGAATCACTTACGATTGAGGAAATAATAAAAGTGGCTAGCTTCTGCTTCCCTAGCCCAAAAGACAGGGATAAAGTTTCTCCGTGATTTATAGGCAACAAACCCAGAGGCACTGAAGCCTGCTCAACTCCAAGGAAGTGAGAAAGCACCGTTAGCCACTTAAGTTCCCGCTGGGTTCAATGAAACTTGGAATAGCCCATTTTTGCTAGAGTTGTGTTCTCTCTGTGTATTGTGCTGTGTTTATTCCTTTAAACAAAAAATGTCTTAAATGTCTCTGTGCCAGCTTTCTCTGATCTGGTGCCCTCCACATGTCAGCTCCCATCAACCCCAGCCAGAAAAATACAAGCTTTCTTGTACTTTGATCCGACGTATCTTTTTGTTTTGCTTTGCTTTGCGTTTTTCTTTTTTTTTCTTTTTTGCTTCTTCAGCAATTAATTTTTAGAATAAAGCAAAGGTATGTTACAGTGTTTCTCAGATGAAAGGGTAATTTCAAACATTGCTTTTCAGGTAAAAATGTGAAATATCAAATATATACACCACTCGAGTGTCTGGTTGGGACAGAGGAAAGTATTTTGATAAAGATGGCTCCCAGGATGTGGGGGAAACCTGACCGTTCAGTGTGGTAAAGGGAAAGGACACCTTAATAAAGCGGATTAATCCTAACAACAACTATTCAGAAGTAAGTTCTAGGTTCCATGGCACATACCTCCCCGAGTAGGTGTGCATAGGATTGTAACCTTAAAGGCACACCGATTCCCACAGGAGAGAGTTACCACAATATTTACTGGTGAAATAATGGGACTTAAAAATGCTCAGCTATGACTGAGAGCCATGCAAGAGTTTGTTTTTGTTTTTTACTCTACGGAGAGTGAAATACTACTGCTTTTATAAGCTGACCGTATTATTACGACACTTAAAATCACTCCTAGAATGCTGTGTATAGCCTCTTCGATAACACCAAAACCCCTTGCCTTAATTTACTTTATGTTTTGTGCAGTATTGCTTTGTTTGAAATGCAGTTGGGTGGTGGTGGCGGCAAGATTTAGGTGAACAGTGGTGGGAGCAAAGCCCAAAAGTGAGCGAAACTCTCGGCACTGGAATTTGGGGTTCTAGCTCCATCAACCTAATCTGTTTGAACCCGAACCTTGCTGGAATCTTGGTCCAATCCAAAATAGAGCCTTTTCAGGCCTGCAGTGGGTTCACAGAAACTCTTCCTCTCCATTCCCAACCTTACTGAAGGGACGGGCAAGGTGGGGAAATCACTGCAGTAGAGAAGTTTTCTTCAATCTTGAGTCTCCAGATGTTGTTGGACTACAACTCCCATCTTCCCTAACCATTGGCTAATGGCTGTGGCTGATGAGAACTGTTGTCCAATGATGAATGTTGTCCCTTCCAGTTCTATGGTTTTATGACCTTACGCTATCTGGGGACAGAAGGTTGAAGAACATTGCAGTAGGGTATGCACATGGCTGCAGCAGCATCTAGGGGCACTGGAAAACAGGGCAAAATGATTGGGGGGGCATATGTTGTTCTTGTAAGAGAAAAGCTTGAAGACTGGTGTGGATAGATACTGCCTTTGACGTTTAAGTAACTGAAAGGGTTGTTTATATGTCTTCTAAACTATAACACAAAAAATCTACCGCCTTCAATGAACAGTTGAGCTAAAATTTAGAAAGCTCTATGCTTGTAAAATGCCTCTCTAGAATCGCGAGCTTCGTACAAACGAAGAAAACATCATTGTAGGATTGTGACATTTGTCTTTCGAAGACAAAATGCCACTCTGTAGCAAAATGTAATGCCCTAAACTTACTAAAACAGGCTTGCACACACTTCAAAACATTCTTCTCCCTGAAAAAGAAAAGTAACCCAATTGTTTCCCCTTCCAAATATTAAAAACCATGGGCAAAAGTAAAACAAAACTTGGAGTTAAAATAATTATCAACTTGTTACTTATCAAATAAAAATAATCATGGTGGATTCTTATCTGATTCCATATATATATATATATATATATATATATATATATATATATGAAATTAATATAGACACACGTACACACTCACATGCACAACATGGGCATCAAAAATGGGGTCTGCTAATTTTTTATACATTCATAAATAGTGGTTGAAATCTCTACTCATGGAGAAGCTCTTGGAGGCAGTTTGGGGATTTGAAAATCTCAGGAACTTCACTGTCCAGCTTACAGATGACCTTGTATATGGCCTTCTTCCAGGAAGGATCAACATCTTTGCCTGCGATAATGGCATTGAAAAACTCTCGTAATGTGATCTGAGCCACTTCCAGGAATCTCTCTGGAACCTGCTGATACAAGGAGACAATGGCATTAATAAAAGTTTTCAGTTTCAAGTCTCTGGGTCTTCAAAGGAAACTGAGCTAAGTTCTTGCTTTCAAAAGGGAGCTTACATAGCACCTGCATTTTCTAAATGCGGCAGGCCTCTATTCTCTTAGGCAGGGCTGTTATATATAGTACAATAGTAATAACTTTTAAAACATGTGTTAGCTAGCTTTGCAAAGTTGAACCACAGAATGTAGGTATTAAAATATGAACATCTGGGTTTAGTGGGTGCTGGATTTATAAGATATAATTAGCAGAGGAAGGCAATGGAAAGAGTAAAAAAATAAAAATACAAAGAGCAATAATACACAGCTATTGAAGATCTGCAGGGGCTTTTTGCCCAAATATTGATGTGTTTCTTCCTCTTTTCTCTGAGAATTTAGCATGTGCTGAAAAGAACATTGCCTCTTAATTCCAGCAGATTCAATTAATATTTTTTTATTATTTGCCCTCCCATTAGATGGCAGAGAGATAAATACCGTATTTTTCGCTCTATAAGACGCACCAGACCACAAGAAGCACCTAGTTTCAGGAGGAGGAAAACAAGAAAAAAATATTCTGAATCTCAGAAGCCAGAACAGCAAGAGGGATCGCTGCGCAGTGAAAGCAGCAATCCCTCTTGCTGTTCTGGCTTCTGTGATATCTGTGCAGCCTGCATTCGCTCCATAAGACGCACACACATTTCCCCTTACTTTTTAGGAGGGAAAAAGTGAGTCTTATAGAGCAAAAAATACGGTAATTATACGACCTTCCATAGACGTCTGAAGGCAGCCCTGTATCGGGACTCTTTCAATGTGTGATGTTCTGTTGTGTTCTGTTGTGATTGTTTCTCTATATATTATGTTGGAAGCTGCGCAGAATGGCAAGGGCAACACAGTCAGATGGGTACAAATAAATAAATATTGTTATTCTGGTCCCAGCTAGTTCTGAAAGCCCAGCAAAGAAGTAAGGGTATCTAGGAGTACCTAGTGAAGCCCCCTTCACACGGCCTGGTTGAGAAGTTGCTTTGTTTGTTGTGCTCCCATAACATTTCCTTGCACTCAGACATTATAGCCCCCCTTCAACATGAGTGTTCAGATAAAAACACCCCCCTATGCTTCCAGTGTGTGTCTGTGTTGTGACCATGGACCCAGGTTCTTTCTGACCCATTCGGTTTCTAAATGACAACCCAGTCTATCTGGCGTATTGGAAATCATTTTGCACACGGACAGGTGGCTTCCACCGTCTTCTGCAACTGTGGGTTGGAGAAAAGCGCCCTTGTCCTGAAGGCAACTTCCTCCAAATCATCTCCTTTTCATTCATTTGTTTTGCAAGTTGAATCTATGCAGCCAAGCGGCTGTAGCGCTGTTGAGTTGCATGGAGCTTACTCCCCACAGGAAACTCTTACGGTATTATTTATTGCAGATTCAAGCCCACTTCGTCATGCCCATTCCATGCGAGTGACCACTCACAATGCAACTCTTGTCAGCAGAGCTTCTGAAGACCTGGGACTGCACATGCCAGCAGTGGGAGTAGCCAAAGGCACACAGCTCCCGCCCCTCTTCTGATGGTGGTCTGTGCAAAAGAGCTGAGGAAGGAGATTACTGTCCCTCCCTGCTCAGCAGATGATACATCTGGGAGGGGACAACTTGCATCCTCATCAGGGTGCTTAAACCTCTCTGTGCCCACCCTAGATCAGGGTCTAATCTATACTTATTTCCTTTTGTCAAAATTGGTGAAATCTTGCGTGGGTGGTGGGGGCATAAACAATTGCCAGGCCGGTGTGTCATCTGGTCGATGAGCCAGATGGATAGTTTGACCTGATTAAGCCAACTTTTTATGTTCAGCTCAAGCATTGTTCTATGCATTTTGGGACATAACCCACTCAAAGGACTTTCCTGAAGACGTGGACCACCGACTATCTGTAATTTCAGATCCGGCTAACAAAACCCTTTCCTCCCAGCTGCTCTTAAAGGAGTTCATCCACCTTCTTCACACTTCATAAGAAAACCTTAAATGTCTCCTCCTGTAACAAAGCGGCAAAAGCTTTCTCGCCCGTTGTAGCAGATGACACAGCAGTGATCTAGGAGCCAGGTTTTGCCATGAGGCAGACATGTGATCAGCTGCTGCTGAAGTCAGTGGGAGTCGCTTGCATGCGCTAGAGGGTGGAATTTGGACCCAAGCACTGAGTGTCATTTGCAAATGGCATATTGACTCATAATACTGAAGGCGTGATATGCAAAGAGAGACGGGGGGGGGGGCATTCAATATTCAGGATTGAAAAAAATGTCCGTCTTTTCTAGGGAAAAATAGTTCGACAACACACCGCTATGTTTGACTCTTTAGTCATATAAACACTAAATATGCTAACTATTTGATGCTGGTGTTTGTAGGGGTCTACAATCAGAGGCTGTATAGTTCTAGGAATCCTTCCCTTGAAAACGACAGCTCTTGTTATTGTCCAAATCTGATTATGGAGGGCTGGGAGTTTGGGGAGGGTGGGAGGTATTTGCCAAATGTTATGGAAAGATAACAAATATTTGATAAATAAAGTCAAATATTTTTCTGTAGGTTTGGTTAAGTATTCAAAAACAACAGACATTTTCCCCTTGCTGTGCTACAGATTAGAAAAGAGAACTTAAGTGCCCTCATAAAAAAAGAAATGGAGTCAAGGGTGGCATAAAAAGGCAAGGGAACTTACTATGGCAGGGATGGAGAAGATGTGGTCTCCAAATGTGGATGAACTACAACTCCCATGACCCCTAACTACTGGCCATTCTGGTTGCAGCTGGTGGGAGTTGGAGTCGAACATATGGAGGTCACAAATTCCCCATCCCAGTTCCAGGAAGCTGCCTTATACGGAGCTGGACTATTGGTCTATCTAGTTCAATGTTGTCTACACCAGTGATCTTCAACCTTGGGTCCTCAGATATTGATGGACTACAACTCCCACAATCCCTAGCCAATCCAGTCCATGATCATGGATGATGGGATGATGTTGTCTAACAACATCAGGGCAGGGACCTAGGGTTGAAGAATACTGGTGACACAAACTGGTAGTGGTTCTCTAGGTTTTCAGGAAGGGTTATTTTCTAACTGGAGATACCAGAGATTGAACTAGGCACCTTCTGCATGCAAGGTACAGTAGATGCTCTAGCACTGAGCTGTGATGGTGCGTCCCCATATGCGGTATGAAACCGCCTTACACTAAGCCAGCCCATCAATGTCTAGTCTTGATTGGCAGGGATTGTGGTGTGGTGATGAGTCTTACAGCTCTTTGTTGCACCCAGCCCTTTGCCAGTAGCCGTCCACAACCTGTGCCCATCCAGATGTTGCTAGACTACAACTCCCATCAACCCACTGGCCATAAAGGCTTGGGCTGATGTGGTAGCTTGGAGAAGGCCATGCTAGACAAGCAAATGAACAAGCTAATCAGTATTACAGAGGCGGGACATCATTCCAGAGAATATATGGAACTCCTATTTAATTGTTTGTTGAATTTACATAGCGTCCAAACCTGCAGGTCTCAGGGCATTTCACAGGAAAACTCCTACGGAACAAATGTGTGTAAAAAAAAAAAAAAAAGAGCTCTAAAGGAAGAAAAGCTGAATGGATTCTTTGCAATACCTTTCACTGAACGTGTTGGAGGGAAACAATGGGAAAGAGAAGTGACAAAGGTTGTAGAGCCAAATAACACTTGCCCAAGTGTTCCTAAAGAACTTTGATATTTCAGTGCGCACACACACACCCCCCACGCATGCACACACACCATTTTTGGTAAGCAAATTAAAAATTTAGATTTTATTCATTAATCCGTTCAAATGATGCCAGGAATAGTTTGCTAGAGGATGTGACAAACAAACAAATGTGATAGTGATTGGGTATGGGGCCACATAAAGTCTATAGTGGATGGTGTTGTGGGCAGCAATGCTCACTTTAATTCCTAAAAGCCAAGTCACTGGTGCTTACCAGGAGGGAGAAGGGGAGGGCCAAGGCAGTGGGGAGGTCAGCATGATGCAAACGCACTGACAGTAGGGCTGGATTGACACCGCTGGAGGGTTTTCACTGTGCCAGCCTCCCTGCCGCCTTGCCCCTCTCCCTCCTGGTAAGCAGCAGCAGCTCAGCTGTCAGGAGGTCAGGTAAGCACCGCCTCTCCCCTGCACGCCGGCCGCTGCTGCTTACAGGAACCGCTAGAACAGTAGGAAACAGAGGGCAGGAATAAATGGATGCTATGTGAAGTGTAAACAGCAGGGCCCTTCAAGGGTCTGCGGACTCTCACTGTTAACTTGATGAGAGGTGAACAGTAAGGTAGCCAGGTTTCGAGATGACCCCAGATTATTCAATTATAGCAGATGATTAAGAGCTCCTACAGCTTCTCTTCGAAACAGATGAAGCGCTTCAAGCTTCAGATGAAATTCAAAGTAACTCATACGACACGAAAGAATCAGATGCCCAACTCCATGACTGCTACAGTACTCCCAGTTTTAGATTAATCTATGCAGCTCGAGTTGCTTCATCTCTAAAAGAACAACACAGTGCTGTAAAAGAAAACAGGTCTGGGGCCAAATGCGACCCTCCAAGCCTCACGAGATTCTCCCCAGCCACACACTCAACTCTCCAGGCAATGACTCTCCCTGGCCTTGCTTCAGATGTTCCCTGAGTACTTTTGCCTGGGTAGAAAGTGTCCTTGAACTCTGGTAACGCCTCTTGCTTGCCTGGATGGAAGACAGAGAGGTAGGTGTGTGTGTGTGTGTGTGTGTGTGTGTGTGTGTGTCTAAAACTAACCTACTGTGCAAAGATAAAATTTTCATTCATTGCTGTGCCCACTTTTGCCTTTTGCCCTGCCTGCCAGTGGAAGGGTGCCCCATAGGGAATATGGTCCTGGGGCTGAAAACTATTCCCCACTCCTGCTGTAAATAAAAACAGATAAAAAAGCAGAAAGGACAACGTCAGAGTTGACTGAAACATACGATGCATATATGGGAGCTAGGGAGGTACCTTTGGGACTGCAAATAGCTTGAGAAAATATCAAGCAGTAACAGCTTTTATAGGTAAATTTGCCGAAAGCTGAGTTCCTTACAAACTCCCCTCCTTCGTTCTGAGGAAACATTTGCAAAATGAGTGGCTGCCTACCCTATGTTTCCAAAGGTTTACAACAGTCTTCAGCCATTCCAGACCTGGTCTATTTTTATTGTCCATCCAGCTTGCTTCTTCATGCCAGGGAGCCTTAGCTTATTCCTTTGTGTTGCATATTATCCTAATAGCCAGGGTTTAGCTTGAGCCAGGGCTCAGCAGAGCTAAGCTCTGCGACCTGTTTTCCATACCATGTGAATTAGATGGATTTTGCTATTTCTTTTTAACAAAAAAGAGCTTCTGGGCCTATGCAGAATGCCTTTCCCTCACCACTGACTAACCACAACCAGTATGTCAAAATTTCCAGGTCAGGAGATGCAGCTCCCAGGCTTGTTTTGAGCCTGAGAGACTATCTTTTGAAATTAAACACTCCTCCCACCTCAGTTGTAGCTGACCCCCCCCCCCATTCCCAATCACGAAGACTACAATATTTTCTTAAGAGAACTGCACATTCTGAGGCAAAACATCTAATTGTTTAAATGGATGGGTGGCTAGATAGATATTTTTTTTCTCCAAGTGGGCAATTAAGCAGTCAGCTGTGCTAATTGCGTGTGTCTGGGGGTAGCTTTTGCCTGACCCTAAGTGATGATGACCTACTAAGTACGTCTTTACACCTAACTGATTGAACATCTCTCCAGCAGAAACATCTGCAGAAACAATGCCTCAGTGACAAATAAGACCCCCGTCCAGATTTCTTTTTATAGACTCAACAACAATCCCTAGTATGAACCCAGAACATTTTCCTAGCATCAGGTGGCTGCAGTCAATCAAGTAATAATACTTGACATTCGCCAGGAGGAAAGACAATGCTGAGAGGGGGAGCTAGGTGGTGGACTTCAGACTTAGACACGGTTGTCTCAGAAAAGAAGCCACACATTGCTCCACGTAACCAGCAGATCCCAGGGACAAATGGCTATATATGTCTACAACATGGCAGAGAAACCAGCAGTGAAAGTACTGGTGCAAAACTACTGATTATTTAGGGAGTGTTGAATAAGCGAAAGATGGAACATCCTGGCCAGTGTGCACTGGTAATGGTTATCTGTGAACCTATGAGCTGGTTCAGCAGTTGCCTATCATTCAGTCTTACAAATCATCCAAGTCCCACTTAAGATGCACTATTTTCTCATGAGGAGGGAGGAGATGGGTTGCCTGGTAAAGGCCCTGCTTACTTGTTCGTTTATTACAGGAGCTGCATCTCATAAAATGAAGTGCTTTGAATCCTCTTAAGGGGAAATCTGTGGCCTTCTGCGTATCATTGGATGATGTCCCATCGTCCCTGACCATGGTTCATGCTGGCTGTTGAAGTCCAACCAAATCTGGAGGGCCACCAGTTCCTCATCCCAGCTCATGAGCATTATTTAAATGCTGAGTGTTATTTTTCCCTCCGCCATCCAAAAAACCCCCCACATGGATGGTTTGGGTAGAAATGTCAACCAGCAATGGAAACACAATCCAGGAAGCCAGATGTGTATGCATAACTAGACTTCCATGTGCAGAATCAATGTAGAGGTACACCCTGACATGAGAGTTGGTACAGCATTGTGGGTAGGCAGCTGACATTTCTATTTACCCAGACCTTTGGACTGAGTGCAGTTCTGGTATAGTGCTCTGCTGCTGCAAGATAGCACCATAGGATTTGATATGTTTTTTAAACTATAAATACTGATATTGCTGTTTTATTTTTCTATTGTTAGGCTGCCCTTTGCTTCTACAAGGAAGGGTGGGGTAGAAACACTCTCTCACTTCCTTAGACCACCTAATCGCCAACATGGAGATAACAGTGCTAATCAACATTACAGGGTTACAGGCAAGCTTACAACAAGTTAATGCAAGTGAAGTGCTTTGAACACACACGTGTTCTATAGAAATGCTTAATAATAATACTTGGAGTAGCCATATTCCATTGTACAGTCTGGATATACCGTTTGCTGTACAATGGGAACCTGCCATTTCCTATAAGGCCATTGGTTAGGACTACTTGCTTGCATCTGCAGCTAGATAAAAAGCCCATCTGACTCTACCATTTTGATACAGAATGTGCCACACAGTCTACACTGCTACAAGGCAGAGAAACTGGCTCTCTTAATCCCTACTTGTCAGTCATCTTATGGCATACCTCAAGGGGTGCGCATGGAGGCAATCAGAGAGCAAACCAATTGAAACGACACACAAATGAGTGAAAACACTTGCTAATAAAAGGGGGAGAGTAGGAATTTAGAAAGCTGCCTTCTGCTGGTCAGGCCAGTGGTTCATATTGCTTCATATTGTCCACTCAATATTGCTTCATATTGTCCACTCTCCTAGGACTGCAGGGAGGAGTATCTCGCAGTCCAGAGGTTGAGGATTGATCCTGGGACCTTCTGCATATAAAGCAAATGTTCCACCAATGAGCTATGGAGCTTCTCTTTCCAACCTTACATGGAACCAAACAAACTGGAGTAAAGCGTTTCTTACTTTCTTATAAAAGGGACGCGGGTGGCGCTGTGGGTTAAACCACAGAGCCTAGGACTTTGCCGATCAGAAGGTCGGCAGTTCAAATCCCCGCGATGGGGTGAGCTCCTGTTGCTCGGTCCCTGCTCCTGCCAACCTAGCAGTTCGAAAGCACGTCAAAGTGCAAGTAGATAAATAGCTCCAGTGGGAAGATAAACAGTGTTTCTGTGCACTGCTCTGGTTCGCCAGAAGTGGCTTAGTCATGCTGGCCACATGACCTGGAAGCTGTACGCCAGCTCCCTCGGCCAGTAAAGCGAGATGAGCGCCGCAACCCCAGAGTTGGCCACGACTTTACTTTCTTATAAAGTTATCAACTAGTCTTTAAGATACGAGAGTCTCTCCAAAATCTAACTTGCCACATCCTGTATAAAATTCATTGTACTAGTTGAAACTGTTCTAGGTTTTCTCCCTGAACACTTTGCCAGAGGCTTCACAAGACCCGCTCATCACATCGTGTTAAGCGTTCTTACCAAAAACAAAACAGTATCAGTCATGTATAAGATATTACATTTGTTTTGATATATTATATTTTGCGAGCTGCTTTGACTTCGCTTCGCGAAGAGGAGTGGGATATAAGCTGCCAAATAAAAATGATAAAGAAACGTCAAAAATCATGAAAATGTGTAATTTTCACTTTTCCTAAAACTAGTTGCATGAATCGGCCCGAAGCTACCTTGTTCTTCTTTTCCTAACAAAACGTAACTTTTCGAGCCAATCTGTCTCTTAAACCTCACAGGGCTTTGGAGCCGCTGTAGGGAAAAGTTTTCAAATATGTGCTGAATGCCTTTTTTTTTTCCCCAGAGGGGAAAAAGGGGTTTCACTTCAACAATTTGATGTGCTCAGACACTTATCCAGTGGCTGCGCTGCTAAATTTATTGAACTGAAGTAGAATTTCTGTTTTAAGTCACCAGGTTTGGAACAAAGAGTGTAAACTGGCACAGAATTTCACTGACATCATACTCAACATGGGGAACCCACAATGAATCAAGCAGCAAAGGGTTACATTTCCCTGGTTTGCCAAAAAATAAACAGTGTCTCCTACTTAAAATTAGGGCACACAGGGTGAGAGTTTGGGGTGTGTGTGTGCTTATGATGTTCCACAGGCTGGCACTGAAGCCTTCACTGCCGACAGTTGTTTTCTTGTTATTTCTTTATTTTTATTTTTTGCCTGTGCAGCAAAGACTTTCTCCCCCTCCTCCCCCTCTGCCCCCCTCCTTCTCCTCTTCCCAGTTGCTTTACCTTCAAGGATGATTTGTTTTATTAAACTGACTGTCCCCAGCCTCTGCAGTACATAATAAAAGCCTGACATAGCAGCCTGCCTGCCTTCTGTGTCCTGCAGATACTCATCATAAGTGTCAGGACATACCAAGGTTAGCGGTCACTGGAAGTGTGCTGGCTGGCTCGAGCCTTTGCCAAACATGCTTGGCAGCTGAATGAATGTCATAGAGAATAGAAGGGGAATTACAAAGGTTAGAGGGAAGACAGCCTCGCCTTCACTTTCTTTCTCTTTCTTTCTTTCTTTCCTCCTCTCTCCTCTCCACCAGGCTCCCCACTTGTTTTCCCCTTCTGGAAACTGATTTTTCACACTCTCCTGAAAGAAACATCAGCTTGTACAGGGAATCGTTACTCAGTCCCTTAAAACTTTTTTACTGTCAAACAAAGCTTTCTCTTTTTGTGAAAGGGGGCTGATGCTGTGCCTATTTTTAGGCACTCATGCCTTTATTGTCTTTTCACTGGTGCCCCAAGATGCTTGCAATTTTGTAATTTTATGGAGAATGAACTTGTTTCACAAAGTTAACACGCTTTATCGCTTAAACGGTGGAGCTTGCCTCCTTAAGATTATTAACATGCTTCCCCCCCACAATTTTTCTTTTAAACCCACATGTCACTCTTTTATGGACCAGTTGTGGTATGCAGCCTCTGCTGAAATGTGCAGTGGCTATGCATTCTGAGGACTGCTTGTGCAGGAGACCTTCCCACGGCACTTTCAAACTCACCACCACCACTAGCGCTGCCCTCTAGATTTAATTGTCATTAAACTCAGAAGAAAGAAAAAGTCAGGGTGATATGAAGATCGTCGTCATGTCAAAACTGATCTCCTGGGGAACTGCATTTTGTTTTTTTGACTATAAAAGGGCAATAAAATGCTGACTGTAAGAAGACAATGTCAAGGAGAAAAGGGTATTGGTATTTTGGATACTCTTGACTGCTCGCCTTGGAGAGAGAGTTATTCTTGTCACAAACCCTTTTGTCTGCATCTGCTGACTGCTTGCCTGTAGCCAGCAGCATACTTTAACTGTTTTGTCACCTCCTAACATCACACGCATCAGCTGTTGTGCTTTTGTTACGGGTATTGTCAAACTAATCCACTGTGGCTGTTCTAGTGTGCAGTAAATAAAACAGAAACTGCTTCTCAGACAATTCTGCATGAATATTTCAGATGGCTTTTACAACTCTGATTCACAAAATAAAAAAGCACACACACACGCACAAACGCAAAACTAGACTTGGATGCCTTAAAGCTAATTGCATGTGGCCACTTCAATTGTTTTGGAGTAGATAATAAAGAGCTGCTCTTTTCTGTCCTTAACTTTTGAGTGTAGCTCTTTAGATTTAAAAAGATCTAGATAATGTGGTTTTTATGTATGCTGCTTAGAGGGCTGGCTTTCTTTAATTTAAGCGGTTTATTTGTTTATTTTCTAAAATAGGCAACATTTCACAGTCTAAGGCTACATAAATCTTCTCAAATGCAAGTCCCACCCAGGCTTCCTTCCCAGGTGAGAGATATAGGATTGTAGTCTAACAGTCCAATCCTATACATGTTTATTCAGAAGCAAGTCCCTTTGGGGGTCAATGGTTTCCTGATAGAGTGGCTGAGTTTCACAGTATTAATTTGGAATGTGTGTGAGAGAGTGTTTATGCAAATGAATTTATTTAAAAATAGAAGAAATATAGTGCAATTAGATACAGCTGTATTTAGGGGAGTTGCACCTTCATTTTAAACACATTTACTGGGAAGTGACCTCTGTTTGCATAGAATCACATGTGTCTAGGTGCCATGTTGGGCCTGGAAAGGTTTAAGCCAGGTCCACAACTAGGGAAGCTGTTTCCCTCAGTAACACACCCGGTCCTGAGCACCTTTTTAGAAAGGTTTGTGTGAGGTATCAATGGGAGTCCTTGGAGAATCTTTTTCTAAAGGACAAAAACCAGACTATATCTCTATATATTTGCAAGGTCATTTAAGACACCCTGCAGGGATATGACCAGCACAATTTCATACACAGCCTCCACATACATGCACATGGTTGTCCTCACCAAAATTAATAACAAATTAGACATTATTTTATTTTATTTTATTTTAGCCAGGCCAGGCATCATGAGTTGCTGGTTTCCAGAAAGTGAAATTTGAATACTGGGAAACGGGCATTCCTTCAAATATAAATACTTAATTTTTAAGAATAATAATTTAACATGTATAAAGTATTTTTAAACTACCATGCCTCAGTAAATCTTAGCAAGAACCATGTAGGATAAGTCGGTATTATTAAACCCAAAATCTGCACATCAAGGGGTGACAGAGGTAAGTGTTGCTGTTCTCAAAACAAATGAATAATAAAATAACCGAATATCTGCTGAGCACTTCCAAGTATCAAAAGTGCTTCACAGGCGTCATCTAGTTGTAATCTTGACACAACAACCCTGTGAGGTAAGTCCCTCAGGCTGCGGCTGAAAAAAGAGAGAAGCATGCAGAAGGGCCTAGTGACTTTGGGCAGCTCCACACCATACATTTAAAAGCACATGGCTTCCCCCAAATAATTCTGGGAAGTGTGGTTTGTTGAGGGTGCTGGTAATTGTGAGGGGGGAACTACAGTTCCCAGGATTCATTGGGGGGAAGCCGTGTGTTTTAAATGTGTGTTGAATGTGCTGTGAATCTGCCCTTTATGACCGAGGCAGGATTCAAACTGGGAGCTTCCTTGTTTATAGCTCAGTCTCTTGGCTACTCTTCTCAACACAAGCCATTATACTCAGGCTCCTCTCCAGTGAGAGTTATTAAAACTGTTTTAGTACCGACCACCTTAGTGAAGTCACACTGGGGTGGTATGAAACGAAGAGAGAAGCCTGTGCGTTGGGGGGGGGGGGAGGCACAGGAAAAGAGGCAAACAGCTGAAGTACTTTTTACCGAGCATTCATTCACCCTTGTGTGCACATGATTCTTCTAAACAAACTCTCCTATCCCTGCTGTTTGTTGAGCAAATATTGATCAAGGAGAGAGATCTATCTCCCGACAGCCGTGACACAAGCTGGGGACTTGCACTACAGACAGAGTGGACTTAAAACAGATAAACTTGGAAGCTTAAGCAACCCCGAGTGTTAGGTAAAGAGGCAGGAGGAGGGACCCTTTTTCTCCTTCCAAGCGTATTGTCAAGAAAAGGGGGAGATTTTTCTCTGCTCATAAATATCCCGGGGAGCATTGCCCTCACTTACATGCAACTGGAAGCCTAACAGCCTGATTCACAAACCCGCTAAATCAAAGTCTTCCGATTTAAGATGATTTAGGCCATGCATGGGATTAGGTGAGCTTAAAATCAAGTTTGCCAGTTTAATTGGTCTGAGGTTCAGCTTCAAAGTGGCTTGTCTTGTGCCCCCCTCCTTCTTACCGCTGAAGTGGTAATGGATTCCTATCTGAAGGGATGGGGGCTGTGAATGGTCTCTCCTGAATGCATGGGCGCTTAGGCACTACAAAATCTGCACAGCAGAAATAACTGAATTGAAATCCCTGAACTTCAGTTATCAGATAATCTCTTCATTGCCCCGCTGAACCGCGTTGCTTTAAAGAAACAGTGCGACCACATAGCCCTACGTAAAAGGAATTCCCATTTATCGACACTTCAAAAACTAAATGCAAGCAGTTATTTGCAATCACGTTCCAGAGGAATCCCCTCAGAAGGACTGAAATCTTAAGGGAGCCATCATTATGGGATGCATTCTGCGGCTACCACACATCCAGCAAGATTTTTTTTAAAAAAAAGTTTGCCGGAAGAATGATGCATGGTGGTCCCTTTCAAGCAGCAAGATGAGATGAACATGCCACCTTGTGCAAAACTCCATTGCACGGTGGAGAAGTGGGCTCCTAGAACCCATCTCATAGGCCTGAGCTGCAGCCATTTTCATTCTTGCTGCACCCCCAATTTGGACAATTCACATATAGTTCCCCCTTTAGAAATATTCATTTACTTTTCAGGAGTTGCACTCGTTGCACTCATTGTTCTATCCTTTCTCATGACCTAACATTGTTTCTTAAGAGGAGCCTGCGGATCAGGCCAATGGCCCATCTAGTCCAGTATCCTGTTCTCACAGTGGCCAACCGGAAGCCCGGGGGAAACCCTTAAGTAAAACCTGAGCACAAGAGCACACTTTCCTCCTGCCATCTCCATCAGGTGGTATTCAGAAGTGTTTCTGCTTCTGACTATGGAGGTAGAACATAGCTCTCATGGCTTATAGCCACTGGTAGCCTTATCCTCCATGAATTTGTCTAATCTTTTTTTGAAAGCCATCCATGTTGGTGGCCATCAAGACTTCCTGTTGGAATAAGTCCACATGTGTGAAGAAGTGCTTTCTTCCTTGCTGCACATCTTCTTATTTGCACAGACCTAATGCTTCCATTTTTCCAAAGTGCAGAGAAGATAATTTCATTATCGGCTCAAAGCATCCCACTTGCTGTACAAGATTTGTCACTGGCAAAGATGGAAAGAATAGAGGAAGAGCCTCAGTTGAAGGGCTATAGCCAATAGCAGAAGGTCCCAGGTTCCATGCCTGGCATTTCCAGCTAAATGATCCAGTAGTAGCCCACAGAATGTATTTCAATTATTTCAGAGATCCAGCATGCTGTACAGTCGTGCCTCAGGTTACATACGCTTCAGGTTACATACACTTCAGGTTACAGACTCTGCTAACCCAGAAATAGGGCTTCAGGTTGAGAACTTTGCTTCAGGTTGAGAACAGAAATTGTGCTCCGGCAGCGCGGCAACAGCAGGAGGCCCCATTAGCTAAAGTGATACTTCAGGTTAAGAACAGTTTCAGGTTAAGAATGGACCTCCAGAACGAATTAAGTACTTAACCCGAGGTACCACTGTAGTGGATTTGGTCTAAGGAGACCTAGGTTCAAATCCCTACACATGAGGCTGCATGACCAAGTGGCCATTTCTTAGCCAAGTCTGCCTCACAAAGCTGTTGTGAAGATACAGTAGGAGAAACCCCACAAGAGCTTCCTGAGATCCTTGGAGACAGAGCGGGATGCAAACTAAAAATAGTTTAGTTACTCCCTCACCCCAAACTCCTTTAGCTCAGTTGTTCCAAACTGAGCAGATGTTCAAAACTTAAGTGTCAAATGTAAAATTGACTCTTAAAATAAAACCCAGTTCTCTGCCTCAGCAGCATATAGAATGGAGGCAGGCAACCTGCAGCCCAAGGATGCAGCTTTCAGTCTAATATTGTGCAGGTGGCAAGTATGGGAAAATGGAGAATGGGGTGGCAGAGAGAGAGAAAGAGAGACAAAGGGTGGCCCATTCAGTTTCAGCTCTCCCTACACCCACTGACTTTGACTCCCTCTGGCTCCCAGCATATGGTCCTAGGCAGGTTGCTCCTGAATGAATGCAGCCCTCATGACTGATGGCCGTCTGAGAAATCTTTTAAAGAATTTCTCTGTTTCCCCCATATTATCACAGAGTTGGAAAGGAATCAGTGGATTACCTTGTCTAACCCTCTGCCCTGAGGCAGAACATACTTTACTTAAAAAGAAGCCTGCACAGATGCATGTCAAGCCTTATTGTGACAACCTTGTGGAAAGGAAATTCTACCCCCTTTCTAGACAATTTGTTCCTCTGCTAAACCAAGCTGAACTGCTAAGAACTTGTAAGCCCTGTTGGTTTCAGCGAGACCGTGAAAGACATGCTCTTCCTAATACTTAGCCTACATCTCGTTTTCTTCTCATATGAATCAATTGCTCTGTTTAGCAACCCCCTAAACCAATCAACATTTTAAATCAGGCTCCCTAAATAACTGGCCGTGATCATTTCAGTTTTATCTTTGTATACTTTTAACCAGAAATAAACTATCTTTTTTTGAGGTGGAGCATCCAGGGATGTTCGCAAGGCCTGCATCAAAGGACCAGTTGATTTCATTAGCAACATCAAGTTCAAGTGCCTTCCTTGTATAGCAGGTATGGGGAACCCATGGCCTTCTGGACGTTGCTGGATTACAACTCCCATCATCCCTGACTGGAGCTGATGGGAGGTGGAGTTCAACAACATCAGGAGAGTCATAGGCTCCTCCTTGCAGCTGGGCAAAATAATTTCAAACCACAAACGTGACATTGGCAGAATGTAAATATTCCTCTGTATTTGAAAAAACCAAAACAAAATCCCTTAAAATCCAAAACATATCAGGGAGAAGGGTTCAGTTTAGCACTGTTCGTGGCACGTAAAAAGATTTCTTTCATGGAAATTCAACCGTTCACTATCACAGTCTAGAAAAGGATTTGTCCATTGTGCTGATAATATAAACTGTTCACCTATAAGTCCAACTGATTGAATAGGTCTTGCTATCACAACCTTTGGTGCCTACACCTGAAGACCACAGAGTTTCATCATGAGATCAACAGATTATGCAAGAGGAAACAGAAACGTTATATGGTTTGTTGTTTTGTGCACAAGCCTCAAACATTAACGCCTGTCTCCCGTTCACATATAAGGGGAGACTTAAAGTTTCTGTCCCTGGTTGTTGTAAACTGCAAGATCCTGCCTCACCAGAACAAGGTTCCTGGTTTGTTATCCAACTTGTGGACTTCTCAACTTGTGGGCTTCTCGAGGCTAGTTGGTTACCCACTGTTAGAAACAGAATGCTGGACTAAATGGGCCTTTCAGTTTATCACACAGAAACTGTCTTAAGCTCTTATGGTTTGTGGAAACCACACTTTCCTGAGTTGGGATGAAACTGGGAACTGTGGTTTACAACAGATCAGGATTAGAGAGTGATATCCATTCATATTCAGAGTAACAAACAAATGAATTTAAGTCCATTGATTTTGACTAACACCAGATTTCACTGAGAAGCTTAAAATTTCATACTCTCACCTGCCAAAGAAAGTGTGCAAGCTCAAGGCTCATGTTGACAAACCATGATTTGTTTTAGCGCTTTTAGAGCTGTGTTAGAAAATCTCTAGAAACAGCAAAACTAAGCAAACTCTACAATTGTAGCCTAATGCTGTGTTGCATTACAAATGTACCCAGGGTAAACACACTTGTAGGAAACAGCTATAGTTCAAGGCTAGCCTTTCTTTGAAAAAACAAACCCTGAATGTTTCATCAGTCTTAGCACAAGAACTAAGAGCAATAACACTCTGTCTCATATTTTACAAAGCTTCAAAAGAACAATGTCCCATTGAGTAAAATTCAGCAGCATTCTGTAAACATTAATTTAAGGAAATCAATAAGCTCTGTGAGCGAAAGGCATATTACAAGATAAACTGGCCCGAGAGCTAGTTGGTCAAACAGATTTTAGTTTTCTCGGCCAGATAAAGATGGTTTCAAAATGGGGCTAACGTGTCGCAACCAAGGTTTGAAAGCTATGTGGCCTTCAAACAGTCTGCTTGTTCCTACTACAAAGCTGGACAAACATACTTTAAATATGATAAGACTGGCCATGATTCGTTTGCTTAGCAGTTTTATATAAAAGTAGAATTGTTAGCCTGGGAAGCTTCTCACACTTGCTCTCAAATCACAATTCTCAACAAACCAATTTCAAGAGCTCAAGGTTTGAGATTTTATCGCTTTAACAGGAGACCTCTTTTTCGTTTTGTTTTTAACAGCCGAGAGTTTACGGGTCCATCTTTATTCATGTTCACCTGGTGGGCAACATGCTGTCCTGCCAAACAGAAAAGCTCAGATCTCTCGTGGATTGGAGATCAGAGGTCTCTGGTTGGTGAAAGCTGCTCACGTTGCAGAGCTGAACCGCACAAGGTCATGTCAACAGGAGGTAAACAGGTAGCGGGGAGGGCAGGCTGGCAGTCTTCTCCTTGGATGCTGCAATAGGGGTTTCTCTTAACGCAGATAAGGGTGCATTAGGGGCAGCTGACTTGGAACTTCTGCAGCAGGGAAAAAAGTGTGAGACCAAGCAGAAAGGGAAGGTGGCGTTCCAAGGTAAAGCAGCTCCAAGGGAATATGGATCCCCACAATTTGGATAAAAAGGGATGGGGGTAAAGGAGGGCTATTAGAAACATTACAGATTAAAAATAAAGCAGGAGGAGGCTCTGATGAGAATGTTCTGCTCCACAATCCAGTATGAACATTCAGAGAGCCCAGGAAGATATGGTATATAACGGAATGTATCCTTTCTCTAATTTAAAAATGAAAAGCGGCCTCAAAAGACTATAAATGGAAGCGGCTTGTTGACACCTTTCCCTTCTGGTGATCCTCCCAGTCAAAGCTGCCCCCAAGCTGATTTCCTTACTGCAGGGTATTCTCCACTCCTCTTCTGTTCCTGTGATAAAGCTTGCTGCCTTGGGGGCTTCTTTTTAAATCCAAATGAAACATTAGAGCAAAACTTTTTCATGTAGTTTGAAGGCCTTGAGGTAGTCAACATACACCAAGCCCCTTCCCATCATCGTATGAGGGGAGGGATGTGTGTGAAATAAGCAGGGCTGTACTCCATTTCCACACCCCCACACACCCTGACAATTCTCCATTTTCTAAATTAATGAGAAAAGAAGCTGCAGTCAAAAAGCATCAAAGATTAGCTATCTATAATTTTACGTGTGCACTGCTTTGAGAGATTTTCTTTTTTTTGTTTATCGAACAGTCCATACATTTACCAAGTAAATAAATCAGGGAATTATGGGTGAAACCCTCAAAGGTGGTGTGTAGGGTTTTCGTTGTGCTTGCCTTACTTTTGATGAGGCCGGGGGTTTGTGCAAGTGCCTTTTCTTTCATTTTACAAATCATCTAAGAACATAAGAATTGCTAATGGCCCATCTAGTCTAGCACCCTGTTCCTACAGTCTAGCACCCCAACCAGATGCCCTCAAGCAGCACCCAAACACATGAGCGCGCTCCCTTCCTGTGATTTCCAGCCACTGGTATTCAGAAGCATTACGGCTTCCCCCTGCAGAGGGAATAAATGTCAGAAAGTAGCCAGAACATACAATAGTTTGTTGCTTGTTAGCTCCCGCCTTCACCTCCATTAGTTCTGACATCAACTCCCCTTTATCACCTGTAGCGAGCAAAAAATGAATCCCAGCTGGTACAGGTAGGAGAGGAAAGTAAGGAAAAAAAGAAAAACCCCAAATCCACGGTGAAAGAGGGAAAGAATTTGCTGTAGTGAGTGGTTTTTTGTTGCCTGTAAGCTTTTCAAAAAGTATCGACATATAAAGCTTTTTAAAAGGTATGAAGTGTGATCTGGGTAGCATTAAGATCGAGGAATCCTATTTAGAAGCCTTTAAGAGTCGGAGCTTTTTCCGCACATCTTGTGCGCTGCTTCACTGATTGTCGCAAAAGTTCTACAGGTCTGGCTGGTCTTCCAGCAGTACTGTATATGCTCCCCCCCGCATTTCCACAGACAAAAGAGGGTTCCACCTGGAACAAATTATTCATTAGGTTACCACAACTGTTTTGCAAAGGCCAGGGAAATTTTTTGCCACCTACTCACGATGCAATTGTGTTTATGAGATGCAGAGGACATCAGACTGGCCTGGGGCCAGCTTTGTCCCTTTTTAAAAGAGAGGGAGGGAGGGAGAGAGAGAGACTACTACTACCACTACTAAAGTATTAACAATGTGCCAAATGTTGCCCTGGGAAGAGAAATCCATTCTTATCTTGAAACCTTAAAGTCTAAACAGGATGGTAAAGACAAGGTAAGCAGGACAAGAAGATTAATTTAAAAGAAATAAAAATGGAAAAGGGTAACAGGGATGAGGAGCCATTTTCACCTAAGGGGCACATTCCTTTCTGAGCAACGTTCTAGGAGCCACATGTCAATAGTGGTGGTTGGGCCAAGAGGCGAAAGTGGGCAGCACAATAAATGTGAATTTCGCCTTTGTACAGCACACTTGTTTCTACACACAGCCCTCTTTATCCTCCAATCCAGGCAAGCAATTTTATCAAGGACACACTCCATCTTAGCAAAATTGCTCAATTTGGGCTGGTGAGGGGTGTGGCTTAGGGAGAGGGGGTGTGGCCTAAAGAGCATCCCTTCTCCCAGGCCTGAGCTTCCTTATCCCTAGAACTGAACATGAACCTATAGTGGTACAGGAAAGTTTTACAGAAGAAATGGCTTCTGGGAAGATATGGCCACCAACTTCATGTAGGAGAAGGCTATCCATAGCTACTAACTCTTGACAGTTGTGTTCTGCCTTCACTGTTGGAGGCAGAAAGCCTTTAAATACCACTTGCTGGGGATAGCAAGTGGGGAGAGGGGCTCTTGCACTCAGGTTCTACTTGCCAGCTTCCCATAAGCATCTGGCTGGTCACTGTAGAACAAGACGCTGGACTAGATAGGCTACCAGCCAGATCCAGCTGGCTATTCTTATGTGGAAAAGAGAGGGAATTAGACTGCAAGCCTGGGGGAGGATGTGTCCCAAGGCATAACAGAGCAAGGATGAAGGGTATTGACATGTAAAGACTAGGATCTTGAAGTGGGTGAATAAAATGACAGGGAGAAACAGCAATGGAAGACCATCATGAGTTTAGCAAAAGGAAAAAGAAGGAAAGAAAAGCATATATATATATATATATAGTGTAACATTGCCATTAAGAGCATACCTTATGAGCGGGAAGTCTCTAGTTAACAACTCAGCTGAGCTAGTAACTCACTGGGTGGCCTTAGGCAAGCCATTATTTATCAGCCATTTGCAATATGGGGATGAGAATATCGGCCACCCGCTCAGCATTCCTGAGACAATATTCATCATGGGTGGGGACAGGGAAGAGGAATAAGGTGCTGAAAATTTACAGCAGCAGCTGGATGAAAACTGTAGTAACTGTTAGTGATTTCCTAACAACTATTGAGGTTGGGTTTCCCCCCCCCTCAAAAGGATTAGCTACCCTGTTCCCTGTGCTAACCCAACAGTTCTTATCTCCCATACCTGCCTCTCTGGAATTTTTCTATTCACCATTTACAGCAGCAGCTGTAGCCAGTTCTGGTTGACTGTTCTAATATCGGTGCTGGTCAATGGCCAGCAATTCTTGGCATTACAATAAGTATGAAAAGAATGTGTCCCTGGCTGGTGAGTGTGGGTCCCTCTTCACACTGTGTGATGGGTGGAGGTGCTTTCTGGATGCACAAGGATGTGCAGCTTGGCCCCGCAGGTAACCAATGCCGGCCCAGAGTCAAATCAGAAGAGAGGTGCAGCAGGGAGAGGATCCTAGACAAAGCTTTTCCATCCTTGAGATGATGCCAGTCAGTGGAGACAATACTGAACCACTGTGAGAAGTACAGTTTCAGGGAACCAGGCAGAGGACCTTCTCGGCAGTGGCACCCTCCCTGTGGAACACCCTCCCATCAGATGTCAAGGAGATAAAGAACTACACTTTTAGAAGACATCTGAAGGCAGCCCTGTATTGGGAAGTTTTTTATATTGGATGTTATATTATGTTTTTTGCTTGTGTTGGAAGCTGCCCAGAGTGGCTGGAGCAACCCAGCCAGATGGACTGGGTATAAATAATAAAATCATTATTACTTTTATCATTATGGTGTGACTCGGGTATGTTCCTTGATCATTCTGCTTTTGTGGGGTCTGTCTCTTCTCTCACAACAGAAATGCAACTTGGCCCACAGAGAAAGGCAGGTTCTGAAAGTGCCCGATACGATCAGAAAAGATAAGCCCACAGTGAAAGTGGATATGGTGCATTACAGTAGATTATGTTTATGAACTTTAATAAAGCTTTTTCTCTGCAGAAGGATTCTTTACGTGCCCCATATGGCAACACGGTACATTACAGTTAGCAAGTAAATCCAAAGCACCGTAGATGTATTTCCACAGTGGTAACCCTTGTTCCACTGGTTTTTGTTCCACATTTCTGCTTTACAATATGGCCTGGGGAAACAGAAAATCCCTTGACAATTGACCCTTGCTCTTTCACTAATCTTCTGCGGAATACCTCCTAGACTGAAACTCCCCAGCTTAAAAGCTAAACTGCGATTGGGTCATTGTTATTGAATCAGAAAGTTGGAAGGAACATTGTAGATGATTGAAATCCAACCCATTGCTCAATGGAAGATTGGCAAAATAATTGCTGGATCAGGTCAGTGGCCCGCCTAGTCCAGCGTCCTTTTCCTCACAGTGGCCAACCAGATGCCTGTGGGAAGTCCGCAAGCAGGACCTGACCTCTCTTTCTTTGGTTTATAGCAACTGGTTTTCAGAAGCATGCCAACTCCAACCGTGGAGGTAGAATATAGTGGTTAGCAGCCACTGATTGCAAGGTACAACTATCCCATGCCTGGAAAAGCTGTCCAGTCTCTTCTTAAAAAGAGCCCATCACCTCCTGTAGTCTTCCACTATCAAGCAGTTCCTATTGCTAGATAGTTTCTCCTAATATTTAGTCAAAAGCTGCTTCCTTGCAATTTATAGTCATTAGGTCTCATCCTGCCTCTCAAGAGCAACATAGAGCAAGTCTGCTCTTTTTCTGCATGGCAACCCTTGAGAGATTTGAAGATAACAGTCATCTCCACCCACTCTCTCCAGGCTTATTTTCTCCATGCTAAATGCACTCCCTCTTTCAAAGGTTTCCAGACCTTACAGAATTCTGTTTGCCTTCCTCTGGACATGCTCCAGTTGCTCAATGTCCTTCTTAAAAATATGAAAGAAGTTGTGTTGTGGTGGCAGCAGGACTAGCGTCCCAGGTGCAAACAGATATTGCTTGAATTGTCGATATTTTGGGTTAACTTCAGGAAGATCCACACCATACGTTGAAAGCACATGAGTTCCCCCAACTAGATCCTGGAAACTCTAGTTTCCCCTAATAGAGCTAAAATTCTCAGCACCCATAGTGACCCAAAGTCAACACAGTTGAAATGTATGATGTGGTTCTGCCCTAAGTCATACTCAGTCATTTCAATTAGTGTACGGTACTTTGACTGGCATTCAATGATATTTTCCTCAGTCTTCTGTTCTGCTCCGGTTTAATGGTTATTGCACACAAACCACACCAGACCTGGTTTGCACATAATACTAAGCCATGGTTTACTGTAGTGATAACGTTAACCATAGTTAATAAATCATAATTAGGCTGGGATGTCTAGAAGACAATCACTTGGTTTGTTACACACACCCTTCCCTCATTCAAAGAGATACAAGTCAGGGAAAACCAGGGAAGACTCAGGGGTCTGAGGCTTTTGAACAATAACAGATTCTTAACTTTAATTAAAGAGGAGGACAGGGTACACATGTAATGGTAATCTATGGTTAATGTTAACTAAGTTTTATACCCAAACTATAGACCTTTACTGTGGTTAACAAGCTATTGTTATCTATAGTTAAGTTGGGAGGTTTCACACATAACTCTAAACCATAGTTTAATGAATCATGGTTTAGCTTTATGTGTGAACCAAGCCATTACCAACCAACCAGATGCAAGAGTACTAGAAGAAAGGACTTGAACACTTTGTAGGCTTTCCCTGAAACTCTGAGCCTAATTTAATACCTAATTCTCACTAATGTTTCTAGGTTGTACTACTTTAGACTAGATTAGGAGCTCTTCTGCACAAAGATGTCTCTTCACACTGCAATGTAGAAGGTGCTTTGGGGTTCTGGTAGCTATTTTGAATTAGAATCAATCATTCAGAAATACATGTTCTGATATGTTTCCAGACGTGTTACATCTTGATATTCTACTCACTGAGTTGTTTGCAATGGCTGTAAAAAGCACCCAGGCTTATTTTATTTTATTCATTACATAAGAAGGGAAGAATAATTTGCACAAGACCATCTGTAGCCAGTAGTTTTTAACTCCAGAGCAAAGTCCCAAATCATCCACTGGACTGAACTTCTCTTTCAAGTTTTGTCTGGCATGATAACCCACGCTAAGAAGTATCTTTTATAGAACTCTTATTTTCTAATCCCAACAGATCTCGCAATTTAAAATACCATATGCCAGATCTTATCAGCATTATACTAATATTGAGTTTTCATAGATTTCCTGTTTGAATCAGTTCGTAAAAACACCAGCGAAAGAAGGGGGGGGGGCAAGGATTAAGTTGAATGTTTACTCTTCTACCAGCTCAGTCCATAACCTATTTATTTAGAACAAACTACTTCAGTCTACAATGATTTAATCCCATTTATAGGAGCACTGAGAAGCTCAACACTTCCAGGCCTTGTGAACCCAACGCTTGGGAGGAATAATTGCCACTGAAACCACACAGTAGCAGCAAAATTAGACTGTAACCTGAATCATTTACTCTGCTGTTTTGATCGCAGAAATTAGCTACACTAGGACCCTGCTGCGTAAGGGATTAAAGCGTTTAAATGCAAATGCAAATAATCTTAGCTGGGTTGCAGTTTATTCAGAAAAATTCTCAAAACTTTAAAATGCAGATAACATTTTTAAATGTCAAAAAACCCCTGTTCAAATACATACTGGCTCTTCAAAGGCCAAACTGAAGACATTTAGGCTACACGATCACAATAGATTAATTCATTAGAATAATTGTTTAAAATCATTTTTTTAATCAACTAAAAAGGTGTTCCCGATTAACCAGGTGACACATATATTAAAAATAATTAATTAAAACAAGGGCTTCTGCATACTGCAGGCACCAGGCACCATTTGGGAAGAGAAATTCCCCTTTCACTCTCAAACAGGAGAGAATGCCTCTTCTAAAATGCCATCTTTAAAAAACCCCAAGTAATGGTGCTGCTTTTCTTGAAGACTATTGCTGCATCACATGCAAATTTAATTCATTAAAATGGGTTTCATTAGCTCACTACAATTTTTTTAATCAGTTTACAGCTGTAGTACAACAAACAACTTGGGGAAAACATTGCATTTTAATGTTAACTGTGTATTTGGTTTATATGAATCAACAAGTGTGGTTAGCAGTGACAGGATCACAGCTTCATTGCAAATCAGTCAGCCACCAGAATAGTTTTGTGGCTCAAATGTGCAAGAACTCAAGGGGTGGGTGTGCTACAAGCATGGTGGTGCCTCAACCACTCTAATGGGTATAAATCAGGGTAGAGAATGCTAGCACTCAAGAAGTAAATAGTTGAGCATGTTCCCCAGCCTGTTCATACAAATAGGATGAGAATTGAATTTTCATACACTGTGGAACACTGTAAATATCTAGAATCTTAAATGAAGTAGAAGCACATTGCAGTTTTACAGATCAGCAACTGCATGAATAGCATTTTTTTTAAAAAAATTGCTGCTCACAATAAGCAGCACTTTATAAAACATTATCAGCAAAATATGAAAACATTGTGTGTGTGTGTGTGTCTGTGTGTGTGTGTCTGTGTGTGTGTGGTGCATTATATATAATAAAAATAAACAAATACTGAAAAATATGCCTTCTAAAGCCAGTACTTAAAAATAAAACCAGCGAAGTGATTATCTAAGCACCAAAATAAAGAGGAGAGCAGATAGAATTTTGTGGCCAAAAAACCATACATTCTGTAATTTAAAAATCGCCAATTGTAATTAGTGATTAAAACATGCATATATTTACTTCCATGTTTATTTTCATACAACCCCCCCTCCCCCCCAAATGTGGGTGTTTCCTTCCATTTCTTTCCCTGCTTGGAGCTAAGAAGCTGAGGGGCAAAAAGGTAAAGATCCTTGTGAGCAGGAAGTGCAGAGCCAGAGGAACAAAAACTGGGAAGATGCTGTTCATGGATGTAATATTAACGGATGGGTCTACTCTATCATTCAAGCCCTAAGTGGTAGCAGGGTGGTTCAGACTGCACTAGACGGGCAGGAGCAGTGAGAGAAGGAACTAGATTTTACTGGGCAGTCTACAAGCCTCAGTAATTGTGTGTGTGTGTGAACACAAGAAGTGCAATTTGACCCACGCTTTCTGTGTTCACACGTATCGTTGACACCTGCCTCTTCATATCTCATTTCTACAGCTCCAGATATATGGCAATATTGCAACCTGCCATGATTAAAGCCCTCCCCCATTGCCCTGTAATAAACACTAATCAGACACTATTCAGCTTCAAAGCACTTAGTCCATGGGTAGGCATACTAAGGCCTAGAGGCCGGATCCGGCCCATTGCCTTCTAAATCTGGCCCGTGGATGGTCGAGGAATCAGTGTGTTTTTACATGAGTAGAATGTGTCCTTTTATTTAAAATACATCTCTGGGTTATTTGTGGGGCATAGGAATTCATTCTTTCCCCCAAAAAATATAGCCCAGCCCCCCACAAGGTCTGAGGGACAGTGGACCAGCCCTCTGCTGAAAAAGTTTGCGGACTCCTGACTCATAGCTGTCAATGTTTCCCTTTCTTTAAGGGAAATTCACTTATTCCGAATAGGATTCCTCGCAAGAAAGCTATGCCCTGACTTAGTAGAAAGAGTCCATACTGAGTCCCTACCTCCCCACCACATTCATGAGAACTAGAAACTTGCCTGTTTTTAAAATGAAAATTTAGATTAATTTTTTTCAAGGAAGAGGTGGCTGCAAAATGCAGTGAATAAAGGCACACTGAAGTGCACTCCTTTCTTAAAAAAGCACACACCCCAAAAACACAGAAGAAGAAGAAAATAGAAGGTGGGGAGACGCAGAGAGCTCCGGCTGAGTCAGAAGAGGTTAACAATCCGCTCCGCCTCTTCCACTTTGCCTTACAATCCTTTTAAGGGAGACTTGAGCTCAGGACATCTGGAGTTCAGGAAAAACAGAGAAGAACTGGGAAGATGAATAAAGGCTCATCACAGTACACAAAAGAACACAGCGAAAAGAAGCCTGGGTTTGGGCATTCTTGTCTGGCAAGGCAGGCAGGCAGGAAGGCTAATGAAGCATTTGCAATATGGGACGTTTGCCAGTGTAACAAAGAAGATGTGCATCAGCTCTGCAGATGTGCCAAAGCCCCCAGAGCAAAATAATGACATAATCACCATAAGTGTCACAGGCCAGACTGTACACAAGGTGACATGGGAGGGAATAAATAAGAGTCTTTAGAGGCATCTAGTACACACATGGGGGGTGGGGGGTGGAATAACCATTCCTCACTATTGTCGCCGCCACCAGGCAGTTTGGGAGAAGTCAGGAGCATAATGTAGAAGGCAAGCAAAAGAAATCTTCAGCAGGCCAAAGCCGGCACAACTAGCTGTGCACTTTCTCCCCCTTCCACCTCTTGATGATTTCTTAATTCCCCTTGCCCTCATTGCATGCAAAGTGAAATGTCAGCAACGCTCTACAGTGTCTGGCAAGCTCCTTTTTGCAAGAAGGGGCGAAGAAGGGAAGAAGAATGGGGGGAGGGGCGTAAAGGATTGGTAATAACCACTACGTCCAACACATATCAAAGACCCACTATAGACTGCAGCTGCTCAAATGATCTTCAAATGATTGATTTAAATAAGAATTATACCTCTATCTATCTATCTATCTATCTATCTATCTATCTATCTCCTCTTCAGAAATTGTCAGGGGAGGGGAATGCAAGCCAGATTGCACATTTAATATGGCAACCATTCAGTACACGTTGTGAAATTGTGACTTCAATATATTTAACATGGGCATGAGCCATCCACAGCAAGACATTTTCAAGGCCACTGATTTCAGTAAAGAAAGATGTAACCACGGTCATAAAATCATAGAATTGCAGAGTTGGAAGGGACTACAAGAGCCATCTAGAACAACCCTCTGCAATACAGGAAACTTTTGTCCAATGTGGGGCTCAAAACCCATGACTCTGAGATTAAGGGTGTCATGTTATGATTCTACGATTTTATGCTCTACTGACTGAGCTGTAGCAAAGAATGTCTTTCTTCTTCCTCATTGCTCTATACTGCTCCTCGGTGCTACTGTTTTGTTTCATTGCCGTCCGTTGTTTGGTGGTTTCAGTTTCTGGTTCCAATGTAAATTGCACTTGTTTTAATTGGGACATTTTTGGTAACCTGTTTGGGACTATTCATTGAATGGCTGGTGAGAAGTACAATTAATTAAAGTGCATAATATTGACTGGATGTGCAAAATGTTCTCTCTCCTCACCCCATCACTATTCTCTCTTACTCCAAGAGTACAGGATTGCACAGGGCACATATTCAAACGGGTTTTGAAAAAAACGTAAAGTGTAATAGTAGCTAAGAGTATGACTTGAGAGTTTCAAAGTCCAAATCTCTCGTTATTCGCAGTACAATCCCATGTTTACGGAGAAGTCAAGTCCCTTTGTTTTTCAACGGTACTTCTGCCCCAGTTTAAGAGTTTGTGGGATTGTAGCTCTATGAACCACTGGAGAACCTGAGGCAAGCCACAACCGTAGCCTACATCTGTAATGTAGGGATAATATCTGCAGCATTGATTCAATGACTACTGGGATAATATATCTGAAGCACTTCGTATTTATAGAGAGCAGAACCCTTCCAATGCTTTACTAGAAATATACAACTTATTAGCAGCTACTCCCAGGGTACTGTTCTGCACTAAGAAAGGAAATCCCAACAGCTTTATGAATATGCACACAGTTTTTCTCCCGGTGGACAGCCTATGGTCCCTGTCCCCCAAACTCTTTGCTGTGGCAGTCTCTATCGACACAACTGGGAATCAATAAATAAGAACCTGCTTGTGTTCGTTAAGTACTGCAGGTCGGCATCTTCTAGGAGAGACTCCAAGCGAAGCTCTTTTCTTCAACATGGCCCTTTTCATCTGAGTCTAATGAAAAATTCATCAGATTAACTTTAAATTTTTATGATCCCTTAATTGCGTAAGCTGTGTCTGCTTCACCTACAGCAGACCCTCCAAGTGTCCCTATTTTCCAGGGACAGTCCTGGATTTACAAAAGCCATCCCAGTTTCTGATTTGATCCTGGAATGTCCCGCTTTCCCTTAGGGTGTCCCTTTTTACATCGGATAAATGTTGGAAGGTATGGAGTTGTGTCACCCACGAAGCAAAGGAGATGAGGAACTATACAACCTTTAAAAGACATCTGAAATCAGCCCTTTATAGGGAGATTTTTTTAAATGTTCAATATTTTTATATATGTTGGAAGCCACTCAGAGGGGCTGGGGCAACCCAGACAGATGGGCGGGGTATAATAATAATAATAATAATAATAATAGAATAGGATGTCCCTATTTTCATCAAAAATGTTAGAGAGTTTGCTACGGTGTTGTTTTTAAAATAATGATAATAATACTGATGATGATGATGATGATGATGATGATACAAACTTGTTTCAAAAGGTTTTTGCATAAGAAAGTTAATCATTATAAAAGAAGGATCTGAGTAACCCAGTTGGTTTACTTACAGTGCAATCCTACTCAGAGGAAAATCGTCATTGTGTTAAATGGAGTTTACTTCTGAGGAAGTGAATAGAGGATTACATATGTGGGGAGTGACATTTTTCACAGCTGCTTCACTTATATTATGATTATGTGAGCTTCAACCAAGTGTTTAGAACTCTACAGACATACAAAGTTAATTAAATTAATGGAGAGATTGTACGGTAGATAATTTAGTGCCATATTCCCTCCCTACCACCTCGGTTTCTTTGTATTAAAAACCCTTATATTGTTACTTTGATTAAAATAGGCAATGCTCTGTTCTGTGTACTTTCCCTACATCTTCTAACTAAATCTTTGCTTACTATATCATTAGGGAAAACAACAGAACATGTATATCATTTTGTTTTACAGAGCCTAATAATTATGCCACAGAGGATTCTAAATTAATCACAGACGGTAAAACAATATTAATAATCTGCTCGGCAAACGCCAGCTTCTTTGCTCTTTGATAGATATTATTAGGCTATTACAATTTTAATTAGGCACACATTTCTCAGGGAGCCTGAAGTGGCACACCATTTACCATAAAGCTATGTAAACCATATCATTAAGGCAGCGGCAGCCAGTGTAGTTCCCTCTAGATGTTGAACTACAATTCCCATCATCCCTGACTAGTGGCTGGGGCAGATGGGAGTTGTAGTCCAACACCATCTAGTGAGAACCACACTGCATTCCCTGCCTTAATTAAATACCAGAGTTAACATAGCTTTAGTTATTTTGACACCAAAAACTGACAGGCCGTATTTGTTTACTTATTTACAACAGCAATGGATTGAGCAAATGATTTTCCATCTCCACTCACCATCTCCATGCAAGTTAGCTTAGTCATGAGGTTCGACCAAGGCACTTAACATTCCCAACTAGCCAACTCAATGGAGGCCCCTAACATTTACAGGTTCACAAAAGCAAATTTGTGATGAATCTGGAGCTAGGAAAATAGGATGCTGCTTTATATCAGGTCAGGCCATTAGTCCATCTAGCTCAGTATTGCTGACACTGACCGACAACAATTCTCCAGTGCTTCAGACTGGTGACTTTGCTGGCCCTACCTGCAGATTCTGTGGACTGAACATTCTGCATGCAAAACAGATGTTGCACCACTGAATGATGAGTTCTTCCTCAGGTGAAATACCTAAAGAATTTTGAGGATACCCAAATTTTGAAAGGATAGCAAAAGATGTTCTCTCTGTGTGTGTGTGTGCGTGCATGTGTGCATGTGTGCGTGCACGTTTACATATCTTTAATATAGGACAACGGTTTGCCACAGACAGAAACAAACATTTTATTATTATTTTTAAAAACTAGACATTTTCAATACTATTCCATCAGTATTTTCCTTAAACATTTCCCCTTCATGTGTTGCTGGCTGTTATGGTGGAGATAAAAATGAATTTAAACTGGAAATATTCTCGTATTTGTCAGTGCAGGGTCTTAAAAGTTTTTCCCCCCTATAGGTAACTGCAACCCTTACTTCAAGCTAATGACGGGGCATTATTGGCGGGCAGGGCGGATCAGGGCCCCCGAGCCCTAATCATCATCATATCATCATCATCTTATTTATACCCCAGCCACCCTGGATGGCTTCCAACACGCATAAAAGCATAATAAAAATTAAAAACTTCCCAATATAGGGCTGCCTTCAGATGTCTTCTAAAAGTTGTATAGTTCTTTATCTCTTTCACATCGGATGGGAGGGTGTTCCAGAGGACCTTTTGCACTGAGTCCCATGTCTCCTGTCCATGCTACCCTTTTCTCCCCAACTTATTTTTTTCAAGAAACAATGCCCAACAGACCTGTGAGCAAAGCACAGTGCCGTTGAGGCACCACCCACCATCTTAATTTGCTCAGAGACCTAAATCTGCACCTAAATTAGCATACAGTCATACCTCATGTTAAGTCCGCTTCATGTTACGTTCTTTCAGGTTACGTCCCACGGCGACCCAGAACTACCGTAAAGGGTTACTTCTGGGTTTCGCCGCTCGTGCATGCGCAGAAGCGCAAAATGATGTCATGGGCAGAAGCAGTGAATCGCAACCCTCGTGTGCGCAGACGCACCGCTGCGGGTTGCGCTCTTTTCATGTTGCGAACGGGCCTCCAGAACGGATCCCATTCGCAACCATAGGTACCACTGTACACAACTTCCATGCATGTGCCCCGAGTTGTTCAAGTACCTAGCAATTCCCCCTGCAGCCAGCTAATGAACCCACGTTTTCTGCATATGGATCCATAGCTGTCTTCCTTTTTAAAACTGTGCATGGCTAAAAAAATGAAAGCTGTGATGCAAACCTATGCAAGCTTGCTCGGAAGAGAGCCATGCTGAATTCAACAAAAATCCCTCCTGCATTAAATGGCTACACCAGTCTACACCAACCTGATGCCTTCTAGATGTTGTTGGACTATAGCTCCCGCTGTGCCTGATGGGAGTTGTAGTCCAATCACACCTGGAGGGCTCCGGGTTGTCCTAGGCTGCCATACAAGATTGCAGCCGATGTGCATAATGATAACTTTTTTCATGCGCTTTGACAGGCAGGCAGGCGGGTGGGGAACGGGAGGCGGGGAGAAACGCTATTAAATTTCCCAAAGAATTAGCAGAATAGCTCTGCTAGAATGTATATGGCATTAAAGAAGAGAGAGAAAGGGTTCTGAAAAGGCTTGTCAGAACTTTTCCGAGCCCATTTCATCCGCCTCCGGCGGAAGCACAATGATCGGGCTCTTGTCAGAGCGCCACAACCGCCACCTGCGGACCTTAGAAGGAGCGGCTGCTCTCTGCTCCCATTGATAACCCTTTGTGGTGTGAAGGGGAGAGGGAAAAGAGCCGAACGGAGGAGAACTGAAGGTCAGACAATAGACGTTGCTGCACACACTGTCTCTGAACTTTCCTCATCTCTGAAGGACAATTAATTATCAAAGCCTTTGGGGCAGGTCGAAGCAAAGGGAAAGCCTACTGCTGGCCCAGCACTCCAGCCGTTTCGCTCTCTGTGTTTGCTAAATGGCCCAGCCTGTTGGAAAGCTAAAGTAGCAGCCACCAGAAACAAGGCAATAGATTGCATCTAGGGGTGGGTGGCTAGGAAAGTGGACGATTCCTAGCTAGATATAGTGTGCGTGAGCTTGGCCCTATATCGTTCTATTATCGCCGTGGAATTATCCACACACACACAAAGCAGGCAAGGGCAATTGCGCCCCGTCTTCCCCGCCAAAAAGCCACAGGGTAGGTTGGAGTCAGGAAAAAACGTCCTCGCCGTGGTGCGTTAAAAAGGATGGTCCTTTCTCTCTCTCCCCCACCCCTTCTCTCCGCCAAATCACTTCACAGAGGCAGAAAAACAGACAAACACAAAAGAGTTTGAGACTTTTTCTCCGACATTAAATAGAGTAACTGATAAGGTCAGACATATGATACCTAAAGACATGAATCTGTGAACTCTTGAAGTCAAAGGACCTCTCTGTGCAAAGGAACAATCTTTCAAAGGAAACAGATCACAGAACTCCACTGAATCCCCTTTAAACTTTATGAAGCAGGAGGGGAAAAAGCTCTAAGTAAGGAAGCCTGACAGAAGAGCCTTGAACTATTTTCTGAAGGAAAGATGAGACCCTCACTAGGCTGCCACAAAACATCTTTTTTTTCTCTCCTAAAGGCTCTTCTGAACTTTGATATGTGCCAAGACACCACTATTGAAAGCTGTATAATTATGTGCTATAACCACTGTAGAAAATGCTTTGTTCACCTCAACAAAGAACAATAAGCAAAGTAAAGTGACATTACACTGTATCTTTTTCTTTAAGAATGTTGAGAGAGGTCACGGTACATTATAACTAATAGAGCTGTTGAGTAAGGAGGTTTAAAAACTTCATCTTGCTGTGCTTAAATGTAACCCAATGGGGGAAAATAGTCAGAGGGAGCTATAAAATCTAATGACATTAAATCAAATAGCCCGCACATCATTTCGGGCCTATCTCATTGTCGTAGCAAACACCTTGAATCCAAGGGGGATAAATATCAAAATGAGAGTTTCCTGACTCAAAAACTACATATACCCTCAATTGCCATGCCTGGTTCAGCTGATTAAATACTTCCTGAACCAGGAACAACAATTGAATGTATAATTATTATTAGGGGTCCACACCAGGTTCATTAACAATTAAAAGTGGCATTTACAATATTGTTACAGCCCACTTTATACTTGCATAACTTTTGCAAATGAATTTAATAAAATGAGATATACTGGCTGAGCTGAGGGAAACTGTCTTCCTGAAGGATGTTTTCATACTTTTTAAAGAAATAAAAATCAACATTGTTTAAGATGCAACGAGATAGCTACGACGTCTCTATATTTTTAATGGAAAATAGAGGAAAAGAGTTCTACCACGAATCCCATTCTGCAATCTTTCCATTCATTGATTTTGGATATAATTAATCAGCACAGCAGGAATATTTTAATTATTTTCAAACCCCAATGTTTAAGTTTCAAATTCTTCTGTTGCACATCAGAGGAATTAGAGCTTATTATGAAATAATAATAATAATAATAATAATAATAATAATAAATGTGCATGGGGAAATAAGACTGCTATCAAATGTCTGAAGAATACATGTATCCAGGCATTTTCAATATATAACAAAGTACAAATGAAGTCTTATTATTCCTATTGCAAAGTGGAAACTAATGTCCTATCATTGTTGCAGCCGCATCAAACGGATGCATCTTTAAAACTGATGCCTCTCACTTTTTTGTTGCATACTTTAAAATAATATTTTTAGCCCTGGTAGGTGGTGTGGGAGACTGCATCCTGTTAGAACTTTCTCACTCAAAATGTGAAGCCTAGCTTTAAGGCATCCTTTGCACAGGCACTCAGCCTAGGTGGTACCAGCGGTTAAATGCACAGTGCTACATAGTTTTTGCAGCCTGCTTCCAGAATGTTTGCAACAGTATTGCTGGTAAACATGCCGTGGATGTTAGAAGTCAGAACCACAACCAATTACGTAATCAACTTCAGCTAATTTTGACCCGTTGTTTCATTAGGGTAAAAGTTGCTTACAGATTTCACAGGGATCTGTCTGAGGCTTTAACCAAGCAAACTAAAAGGGGGGACAGCATGAAATGCTCTACAGTCTATATGTGGATTGTTGTTAACTTTCAGACTTAAAGCAAAATAGTACGTACATTATATAATGGGTAGAACAATCAGCAGTTGGGCATTTTAGTTAATGCTAGGTTACATGTATTGTATGGGGGGGCAAGTGTGAAGATTTTAAATCAGCATCGATAGACATGACTTTAGAAAATGCTACACTTGAAAGATTATAGAATTGTGAGAGATCCGAGAAATAATAGCGCACTGTCGTTGGTTAGACAATGACCAGCCCACAATGTTACATCTATTCTTTTACACCTAAGTTTCCAATCTTTGGGGGCCCATGACAGATTTGAAGTTTTGAGAGGGTGCCACACCCTCTTCCTTCTCTTCCCCCTCCCTTTGGTAATTCCACACAGAGACACCCCTCCCTGACACAGAGAGCAAGCGCACGCACACTGGGCTTTCCTGTCGGCTCTGAAGGTCTACGTTGGTACAGTCCACAGTAAAAGTCACAGAGCTGGTGCTTACCAGCGCTACCAAAACACTGATGAAGTTACAGGCAAAGATTGTCACGGATCTTCACAAAATTTACACATGATGAAAACCAAAGCACCAAGACATTACAGGACACCGTTGGATGCAGAGGTAACCAATGATTTGGTGGTAGTTTTCAGAGTAACCCTTGTAAAAGTTATGAGGATACATGCCTTGTATTCATGTTTTTGAGTCATGGCAGTGCTGGAAAACACCAGTCATTGGGGGTTTTTTTCCATTTCAGTCAATGGATACAGAGGTTTCTGTTATATGATATTGAGAGGATGAAAAAAACACACAGTTTCAAGAGACTCTGTTTTACTGCAGCTAATCTGTGTGTGCGTGCGTGCGTGCACACACACTCTATTTCTTTCTCCTCAATCCCCTACAGATCTCACTTTTTCTCTCTCTGGTTCTCCCTTAGTTATTCCATTTTCCTGCCTGAGCATCCAATATTGCTCCCATTTCTCTTCTCTTCTCTTGGCCATTCAACTTCCTTTTCAGCTACTAATCTGAACATTGGAAAACACACACAACTAGAAAATGAAGTGGAAAAGTGTGGCCCTTTTCCAACCTCCTCCTTAAGTTCCCTTTTTTGGAGGGGGGTGAACCTCTGCCCCCACCACAAGACACAGGAAGCAATGAGGAAGGGGGAGGGCTCAGAGATTTTGTGAATACCTAGAAAAGTCCTCAAAGATGGTATTGTGCCCACAAGAACCCCTTTGGTGGTTATACGCTTACAAAGGTATCCAGGATGCAAAGCTTTATACATGACAACCACAGTTTACTAGTCAGGCTACTGCAACTCTCTAGCTTATATTTGAGAGAACACAAGTTCACATAGTGCAAGTTTCTGGCCCACAACATTTAAAAACAAATGTAGCAAATAAGTACACCTAGGAATACATTAACTGATTTTGCTAGGCTAAAATCCTAAATTACAACCTCTTAAGGAAATGGAACTAGGTATGACAATGAAGTTATGGATAGAGGCATAGTTTGAACACAACACCAAGCCATCGTTTATTAAATGATGGCTTATTTGCATGTCTGACTCATGCCAAGAGGCTGAACTATAGTTGGGTTACCAAACAATCTACCCACTGAATCCATGATTTGCTGTTGGCTTGCAAATCTCGGTTTATTTTAACTATGGATTGATGTTACATGCAAACCCAGCACTCTTTCTTAACTATGGCTTGTTTGGCCACCTTTACCCAGACACTCACCTGACTACAAAAGTACAAGGCAAGAGCAGATGAAAAAAGACTTTGGAGAAACAAACCATGGGTTTATTTGATTGTCTGTAGGAACCCATGATCTGTTAAACAAACCATGGCTTAGTGTTATGGGCAACCCAGGCCATTTGACAGGAGAATTCTAGTGAAAGGGAATGTACATGTCCCCATTATGAATCTGTTCCTCCCTCTTCCTGACCACCTCTCTGCTTTTCCAGAAATCCCAGATCTCATTACTATGCCCTTCAAAATAAAAACTCAGCCATAAGATTTCACAGCAGTACATCGGCAGAGTTTTGATTTTTACATCAACAGGTAGAGCACCTTTTTTTGGTATACATAAGATGCCAGGTTCAATCCCTGACATCCCCAGTTAAAAATATCACAGAAGGCAAGGCTGGGAAAGACCTCTCCCACAGAGATGGATGAACCAATGATCTAACTTAGTAAAAGGCAGGTTCATACATCCATCACTGTGGAATTTAGGACTTTTCAGCTTACATTTCTAAGTAATTGCTTATGAAAGGCAAACAGAAACTACCCACTTGTCAGAGATTACAGTGACTGAAAAACTATTTATGAAAGTATATCACAATTTATTGTATTCAAATCTACTACGAATGTCCATATTATAAACAACAGTGCTCGTAAAACAGGTGCATATATTACTGGCTATACTGTCCACTTTTTAGTTCGTGCATTCTTATTGTATATATTTATTTCTAATTTCAAACACCATGCGTGCTGCAGTGTACCAGGAAGCCCCTCCATTGAAAGCCTTCCACCTCTCGCTTCAATGCAACTGGCAGCTTCTAGGGGCTCATGTAGCAGACACTTCCATTGAATAGGGGAGGGTAGACTTTGCAAGGAATACCTGCACACACTGGCAATCACTGAAACAAGGTGATGCTTGCACAACTAGCATCCTTAGCTGCCTACCTTTTGGCTCCAAGGATCCTCCCAGCATGTCTCACAAGACCTTTCAGCTGTCTCTCTCCATAAAATTAACACTGCAAGCCTTGTTCAGGGGTTTTGCATACAGTTAATACATACACAGGTGGGGAAGTGGTGCCACACCAAATCTGCACAGAAACCTATAGGGATATAGAACATGATCTGGAACCTTGAGCAACCAGGGTTCCAGATTGCAAAGGTTCCCTTCCTTCAAATGTTTGCACAGCACTGTATGCATCAATGTCCAGGTGAAGGGCTACTAAGCATGGCCCCTCTCCTCACTCACCTGTTTTCCTTCACTGTAAACATAGTGCTTGCTATAGCATTTAGCAGGTTGATCCCCAATACCGTTTAATCCACAAAACAATTAAATACAACAAGGCAGCAACATGTGGACCAGATATGTAGGTTCCACACTCTGTATGGTGTATGAGTCAGCCTTTGGCTCATCTTCCATACTGCATGTATAGCCTTTAAGCAGGTATACAGGCAAGAGTGCCTATGCAGGTTGGCTCTGGAGATGTGGTCCGCACCATGGAAAAGGGCTGGGTGACTGACATGAGCAAGTCCAATTTACACAGAATATATGCATAAGGGGAAGTTCATGAGTTTCGCTCCTGTATCCCACCATGGGCATAACTACATGCTTCTCACGGCACGTGATAACTGAGGGCCACATGACATGGGAGTTCTGCTATTGGATTTCCAGACACCTTCCTCCTCTCTCCTCAAAGCAGCTGCAGAAGGCCCTGATTTTTGTAAGACAGGATGGAGAGTTTAACTCTTGTTTTCAATGCCCGTTCCCAAATGCAAATCAACTTCCCAAAGCTACTTTTAGTTGCAAAGTAGAAGCATCCATGCATGAGTATTTATGCAATGTATCTATTTTATATCTAGGAGCTCACAGTGAACCACAACTGGTGTGGAATGCATGTTGATAGGGGGTATGCAGCTAATTTGCTTCCCAAATGCCAATTGTGTATATTTTAAAGGGGGGGGGGACACAGCAATTTACACAGGTACATAGGGTGGAATTCAACATAGTGCTAAGTGGGCTATGCCAGCACAGAACGAGGTCTGCTTGTGCAATGGGACTTCCACCTCTTACACCCCAACCTCTGGAACAGATTTAAAGAGTATGGGGAACAAAGCGAGAAAGGTCTCATTCACAAGTGGACCTCATTCCATGCACATAACAACTCGGTTGAATCCCACCAGTACATTTCACAATCACTTCTTTTATCCTCAGATAAATTTGCCCAAGTATTGAAATGCAATGGGGAAAGCTGCATCTAAGTGCAATTGGAACAAAGTGTAATTTGAACAAGTGCTCCTCATCTAGGTTGAGTTGATCTGCCACTCGCAGCCTACAAGCAATTAGATTTCTGCAAAATCCCAAAATGTTCAGTGGCCATTCACAAGTTTGATATGCTAGCCTACCTAATCTTTAGGTGGGCAAGGAAGCTGAAGATAAACTGGAACTGGTCCAGTGCTACCACTAGATGACTGGGGGAAAGCCGGTGGGAGAACAAAGAGCTAAATAAATCCACCCTAACAATTAAATATTAAAACCAAATACTATATGTGCGTGTGTGACTTATGTAAGAAACCCATAGAAAGCTGCTGTCTCTTTCATGTTCTGATTCCCTTTAAAATATTCTCTGCAAACCATCCAGGGTAAGTATGTTTCTATCGCATTTGGAGTGCATATCTAGATGTCTACTTGCAAGTTCAATGGAGCTTTGTTCTAAGTGTGTTTAGAATTGCAGTCTTTAGATACTTGAGTTTAAAACATACTAGAGATTACGCAAACAGCACACATAGCTGCTGAGGTGTTTTTTGTTTTGTTTATTTAGGAGGGAGAGCTTCTATTTAATGTGTGCTGAAAACATAAATGAATTAGGGGGGTGTAGGATGCTCTCTATAAGTTACCATTTGTGATAAACAGTAACGTGCAAGGATGGACATATGAAAATCCTCCTTCCCCAGCACGCGTATCTTTAATTCATCAGAATGTAAGTTTTGCTTACTACTAAAGATGATTTGGTTCAGTTTTGTGTTGCAGCTGAGCCTAATGTGTTCACAATTTCAACTGGCCTCCAATGACAGCACACAGAAACACAGAAACAAATTGGTACACTTCTCGCAAACAGAGAGAGATTACTCGTTCAGTCACCAAATCCTTCTGCAAGGTGTTTCAGCTACCTCTGGCTATGAGCCTGAGGCGATTGTGACAAATCTAAAGTAAGGAGGCATGAGGATTGTTAAGGATCTTATTTGAGTTCTGTTAACAGCTGCTGGCGGCTCCAAGGCATTGTGAAAGGAAGTCAGAAAAGCCAGCTCATATGTTAGAGCAAAGGCAGGCCCCAGCAGCTCCACAGTGGGTTGAGGATGTGTTTTGTATGAACTGCTGAAGGACATTCATGAGTCTAAAAAGCATGTGTGTTGTCCACAGGGACGCCGCTTGCACAATGTGTGATGTGGCTCTGGCAGGTGTATCTTGAGTAATAGATCTTAAGGAAAACAGGTTCCATAATTCGCCCAGAGTCCCTTCTTTTCTATGAGATTTTATCCCCATTTCTTCAATACGTTATGAATGTTAACTCCGTAAGAGGAAGCGAGCAGAAAAGGTTTAGGAAAATCCATTTAAATTATTTAAGATGAAAGGCATATCAGGCTTCAATTATATTAAAGGATCAGCAATAAAAGTATGAAGGGGAGGAACTCTGATGATGCTAAATATGGAAAACGCTCCATTTGCTCAAGGACTTCAGATCCAATTTCAACACCACAGTACATGTCATTTTTGCTTCAGTGCTAGTCACCTGGGCTGGCCGCTGATCAGGCAAGAATGCATACCTTCAGATTAAACGATATGCAGTAATGGCCTGTTCAGGTCCAGGTTTTCAGCCTAGTGCGTGGAGTTGTGGATAGCAGTCTTAAAGCTGCCATCCAGCTGTTTGTATGAATTAGGAATTTCATAGCAATGCATTTGAACACAAGTGAAAGGGGTTCTGTGTTATAAGAAATTAACTTATTGGGGGGCAAAACTTATGCTGCAATCTCCAGATCAGATAATTGCAAACTACTGGGAACAATATACCATAGGTGTTATGTTGCAGCCTCAGGCTGCTCCAATTAAAAGCCATTTCCTCCATGCTTTAAACTGTGCAACATAGAAAGACCCACATGGGTAGCTCAAAGACAGAAAGAGGGCAACACAATATATAAATGCATATTAATGCTTTTACATTTTCAGACAGAGACGTGATTTATGAGAAGAGGCTCATATTGTGTACATATAACCCTTATTCATCTTCTGCTAAATTGCTATTAGGAGGGTGTCAAATGCACTTTCCTTTTGTTTTTGTTCTTGGTTTCTTCAGAAGAAGCTCCATCCAAGAGTAGTGTAGTCATTGGCCCACCAGAGGTTGCTGGACTCCAACTCCCATCAGCCCCAGTCAGCATGGCCCATAAAAGGCCAGGGACGATTGGAGCTACAGTCCAGCAGCATCTAGAACAGGGTTTCCCAAACTTGGGTCTCCAGCTGCTTTTGGACTACAATTCCAATCATCCCTGACCACTGGTCTTGCTAGCTAGGAATGATGGGAGTTGTAGTCCGAAAACAACTGGAGACCCGAGTTTGGGAAACCCTGATCTAGAGGGATCTTAAGTAGCCAGGACCGCAAGGTAGGGCACACATTTGATAAAGAATAAGCCTGATGGGCCACGGCTGTTTTGTTTTGGCAACACATACTGAAATAAAAAGCTCTGGTGAATGAGTAAGAGTAGAAGTGAAATCTGCATCCTAACCTTCTGCGTACCTTTCCAACTGAATCACTTAGATGTGGTGATGATGGTGATGGCAATCACTTTAGAAATGCTTCAGAGCACGTTTTTGTACCTAGCGCAGTACTACTTCCATAGGGAAAGAAACAAAAGCCCTTGCCACCCCTTCTGACCACGCCACTGTGCAGCTTATACCAAACAATGTGGCCCATCCTTTGAGCAGATAATACCAACGCACTGCCACAAGGCTTCAATGCCACAGAGTGACAACTCCCAGAAGCCCCTCTCGCCTCATCCCTGCATCTGACAGTGCAAAATGCTTATCATCAGCACGGAGGAATTTGCCACCGTGGGGCTTACGGAAGGTCAGCAGGTTAGCAACAATCGCTTGCTGAGCCAAGGCCTCGGTGATTGGCTCATACCCGCTCATTGTTGGCCTGTAAGGAAGAGTTTCAATCAAAGCTGCCAATCCATGGGGTATAATCCAGAGACATTTAGATAGGCCTAGTCCCCGTTGATTTCAATGGAACCGAGACACAACTAAGTCGCGCTTTTGTTTGTTTTTGTTTCACTCGCGAGCTGCGTTTTCTGTCCGGGTTGCAAAACGATTAGCTACAGTCAAAAGATCTCGAGTAGGGTGGCTTTTTCAAGAAAATAGCTCTCGAAAATGTAGCTGAAACGCAAGCAACCCAAATGCAGCGCTCTGCTATCGAGACAGAAAAGTTTCCTGCTTTCTGATAAGGCAGGCAAAAATGACCTTCTTCCCTTTTTAACAAAACATAGAACAAAACACATTAACATCATTTGCAAGGTGGGCACTGTAAAAGAAACAGTTTCCAAAATAAGTGAAAATGCATAAAAAAGGGAGGGGGAAAGACAATTTCAATTACATGCATGCATAGAAGAGAAAGAAACCCAGAAAGGTCACAGCGTACCTCAAAGTCATTTGCCTTATTGTAGTGCATGTTGAGGGCTCTGTACAGCTCACAGTCTCTGGTTATGGACAGCTCTTCAGTGCTTGTTACCCCGTCGTTGATGGCTTGGCGTGCATACTTCTCCATCTGAATGTAGTAGAACTCACGGAAATTGCTAAACCACTTGATGAGCTGAGAGGTAATACATCTGTTGAACTGTGGAAATCAGAAGAGCAAGAAGGATTAGAGCGTTGACACGTTCTCTCTTTCCTCCCCATTTCACAACATCCTTTCTTACATCCACCCCTTCTCTTCCACCCGCCCCATAGCCAAGCTTCAAAAGCCTTTTTTAAACCCAAGGGGTAAAGAGGCTTGAGTGGTCGAGTCAAATGATAGAAAAATGCTGCACCAATTTTTTAAATGGGAAAGGATTGGATCTCGTTCCTAAGGTTGCTAAAGAGCACTGCTGTTCTATCAAGTTATGTATCACGCATAGAAAGCACTTTCAAATTTCGAGTCACCACTAGCAAACTTCTAGGCTCTTACAGGAGGAGATGTCCAGGACTTTCCAGGTTTGTGCTGATGTATTTTGTCCGATATAAGAGATGAGTGGCCAAAACAGTAAAATGTGACTATGTCTTGCCCATTGAAGGCAATTATTTATGGAGCCACATATAAGATGGGTGGGGTTGCAATGTGTTTCCTGTTATGTAGTAGTTATTTCCCACAAATAAAAGTGTGAAATCAATTTAGAAAATATTTATGGAGAGGTGGTGTAATGGACATAAGTAACTTGAGGTTGGTTACATTTCAGTGTGTCGCATAGATCTGATGCAAAATTCCTTTCTCGTTCTATGTCAAGCTAAAAAGAATTCCCCTCTCTCTTTATTGCACACACTCTAAACAAAAATGGGGCCTTCCTATAGGGTTGCTCTCACTTTGCAAAAAATAAATTTAAAAATTTGCATGTGACTTGTAGATGCTTATCATATCCTGAGTATCGAAATCCGCAAATCCTCCTTTAATCCCTAGGCATTCCATCCAGCAAATTTAAAGTTTTCCAGCTCATCCGTAAGATGGAGGAAAATGCACTGGATCCCTTTATTAGAAGTCAGAAGGTCAAGGTTAAAAGTGCCCACATCTCTCAGGACAAGTTTCCTTACTGTTCCTCTGACCTTTGAACTGAAGATGTCACCTAAGCTGCGTTGCAGCTGATCCCTTCTTATTGACAGCCCTTCCTACGTGTAAAGGACAGATGCAACTTAACTTGCCAAGTTAAAACCAATAAATCCATAGCTATATATCTGGCAGGCTGATATACTACCCCCTGCCTTTTGTCATCACAGGCATTCACTTCCCCCGGCCCCCAGAAAGAGATGTGCATTAATCAAAAATCAACAAAGAACACTTATCAAATGCTGGCCATGAGAACATCCAGGCCTCCAACAAGATGACAGCTAAAGTGTGCATTGGGGCTGTAATTACTACACAGAAAGTTGTTTCCATGCTAGCAAAGATAATAAACGAATGAAAATTTATGGCAGGGAATCTAAGTAACAAGGAAACAGAAGCAGGGAGACTGGTGTTTCTCCCAAAAGGCCAACTTGCATCATAATTGCCATGCAGTTGCAAGGGTCCTTACAGATAATTGACCAGAAAATGATTAAGTCATCATCAAATCGCTTCTGCTTGCAAGAGTTCAAACATGTACTTAACCTATCCAAGAATTATATTTTCACTCTGTGTGTCTGCTCTGTCTCTATTCAGCCCTTGCGGGGAACCTGATTAAAAAGACAACTGAAGGACCCCCGTTATCTGATCTTCTGGTTACCGATTTCAATAGAACTTAAACCCATTACGATTTGCTGAACTTGGAGTTCTTTCCATTTTATCTCAGCAGTAAAATACACTGTCCAAATTTCCAGACACTGAGATAAGGACTACAGGCCCCCGTGACGGCTTACTGTTCCTTTTTAATTCTTTTAGAATAAGAAACAAAACATTACAAAATGATAGCAGGGTGTGCACTGGGGAATGAAAATTGCTTTGACATGGAGATTAGGCCCCTGCATTGTTACAAGACATTGTCTCATATGGGCAAGAGTACTGTAGAAGGGGAGGAAAATAGAAAGGGGATTCTTTTTCTAGAATGGTCATGAATGACCTAATGTGGACAACAACAACAAAAAGTAGGTGCGCATGTCATTATTTAGCAATAGGACAGAAAGAGAGATTTAATGCTTATTGCTGCAGCATGGAAACATCAGAGAAAGTTTTAGTGTGGACAAAAAAAAAGTAAGACATGCAAAAATTACAGACATAAGCGCTTAAGGAACAAAACTAATCAGCTCGAATAGTATAGAAGCATTCGGAGAGTGAGTTAATTGTGCATACATACAAATGTGTGTGCAACACACACACAAACACAGAGACAAATGCCCTCTCTCGCCTCAACATTCTGGTGTAGATAAATCAGTCTTTTTAAAATTGCTAAACTTTAAAGAGTTAATTATTCCCCCCCCCTTCTCTAGTGGAGTACAAGAAAAGGATCAATTGTTCTATAAAAGAAAAGCTCTGTAGTGTGTTAATGTGTTACTGCAAAAACTAATCGCTACAATAAAGAGTCTGTGTTTCCACAGTGTAAGAGTCTCTGTGACTTTGATTAATGCTTCCCACGGGATACCTCAGCCTCAATATGGGCTGAAGAAACTTCCTAAATATTCAATGAGCATGGTCAAAAGATGTATAAAACAAATCAATCTGACACCTTAATCTGGCTAGGCAGCAGTTGACTCAAGGGGTGGAGGGAATGAGATACATCATTTAACACTGCTGGGTTGAAAAGCCTGGAAGCGCCTGTTCTTCAAAGCTAAAATGACACTGAATCTGTTGTATTTAGTAGTCTTAGAATTATTAGCTTATACATTAAAATCGGCATCAAGTGGAGCGAAAGAAGATGATACAAGGAGAATCCTTTTTTGTTCCCACAATACCGACTCAGGAGATTTCCCCTTTCCCCCAGTTTAGGGAAAAAATTATAAGATGGTTGCATCTTATACAGCCTCACTAATGGCAGCTCCTTAAGTAAAGCAGCAGAAAAATCAAGGGTGAAATTTGGGTACGGTGATTCATGCATAAGCGATTCGAAAAATAAAAAAAATCAATGGGACAATTTCAAATAAACTAAGTAAGCAAAATTGATCCACAGAAATCAGTTTGGGTTTATTTACAAACGAAAGATTTTTGGGGCTTATCTGTGTATGAAAAATATTTTATTCTTTTCAAATTAGTTAAATTGTCTTTTTTTTGGGGGGGGGGAATAAGCTCCCTTGAGTACAAGACCAGCACAGAGCACTAAACTGGACTTTGTATATTTATTGTACAACGTATTAGGATAGATTGCAGTGCATGGGCTGGGTTCCAAAGAGCCCTTGTGTGTTTTCCAGGGATTCTGTTCCAACTATAGATTCACATGCCGCACTGGAGGCCACTCTGAATGATCTCTTGATTTTTTGGAATGGATTTTTAATGGGGCACATGGGGTTGTGGTGGAAAGAAGGACCCTGGAGGATGGGCTCCATCCATCCTTTCTTCCCTGATTGCATTAGTGTTAAGAGTGTTCCTTGAGGTTTTTTATAGGCACTGCTAATACAACAGAAAGAGTTCCTATTCTGCCACCGTACATTATGAAGTCCTTCCATTGGTTCTTCCTTCACATTAACTAAAAGCATCTGACCCAGAAATTTCTTCAAGACCTCTTTCTTATCTAGAAACATGAATAGCTACACTATCAAACCTACCATAGGTGCCAACTCCCCGAGGCCCTGGGTGCCCAAGCACCCACAAATTTCAGTGCCAGGGCCATGAGCGCTGGCATGGCACCCACGGCCCCAGACACACACAGTCACGGGGCTAAGTTGGCACTCCTGAACCCATTGGTTTTGGTCTTTGAGAGTACGGGCAACATTCTCATGCAGCTAAGTTAGACCAGGGTATCTCATGTTAGTCTAATTGTGTCTAGATTTTTTGGCTATAATGCATTATGTAAATTCATGCATTAAGTTGCATTGGGTTTCTCTTTCACCTGTCTTAACTAGCAGCCTGTGTACATAGCAAATACTTAGGAGGTCAATTTATTGATCATTTACACCAAGGAGTTCAGTGGGACTAAAACCCCATCCTGTTGTTCCAGCAGGGATATTTGGTAAGACTGGCATATTGTGATCTATAATGTTTTGCTGAAGTAGTGATTCATACATGTTGTTCTGTATCTGCTGGCATGAACTTGTGAAAATTGTGAGAGGTTGTTTGTTTGTTTAAAGTTTGTTTGCAATCTTTTTAAAGCTTTCTTTTTTAAAGGGTGGTGTTCAACTATGTCTTAGAGTAGATCTACTGAGGCTAATAGCCACTGGACCCACTCTGAGTAAGAGTTGGTTGAATACCAACCGAAAGTTTGACACTAAAGTTTAGCCAAGCTGATTTTGAATTACTGTTGCCTCGCATGGTTTGGCTAATTAAATACTATAAGAAGGTGACTTGAGATGGAGGATACACTGATTTTTTTAAAATAGAAGAACTGGTTTAAAGTAAGTTGGGTCAACTGTCCAGACACAAGTTTATGGGTGACACCATGCCCCTTTGCAATTCCAGATGAAAGTAAACATGCCTCCCGAAGCATGCCATTATCACAGGGCCTTTCTCTTCTTTTATAAATAAAACTACCTCCATACACATGGAAAGAATCTACTCAAAAGGAGCTTGCAGGCCTCCCCCCTCCCCACAGAAAGCCTCTCCTCATTCCCACCCACATTTTCCTGACCTGTGCATGACACCTTTGAATGGCTAGCCCACAGAATGCTCCAGGTTCAATTCCTGGAATAGCCATTTGAAGAATATCAGGCAGAAGGGCTGTGAAGAGCTTATAGTGTTGTTGCTAGTCAACGTGAACAAGCCTGACTGAGAAAGGCCAATGGTCAATATTTTTCACTAGCCTTCCCCAACCTGGTGTCCTCCAGATGTTCTAGACTCATCAGAAAGACCCAGTCAGCCTGGTCAACGGTCAGGAATGAAAGGATTGCAATCCAAAACATCTGGAAGGAACCAGATTGGGTACTGCCTTCTTACACCCTATTTGCAGTAAGCAGTAGTATTGGTCTTATTCCACCAGACTACTGTACCAGTATTCTGTCTGGCTAAGACTGAAGACATCAATCTCCTTTCTTGAGATAAGTAACCCTTTCCCATCTCCTGACATATTTTTTTTTTTTAAGGAGCTCAATGCAAAAAGAGAGAGAGAAAATTATGTGCACAATTCCCACAAGCGTCTACTTCGCAGCTTTCCTAAAATAAACATTAACCCAGCCCGGATCACACATTCAGCCCAACCAAATTTACAGAGCAGGTTAAAGGAGAGGCTGACTTTACCCACGAACTGTTACCATGAAATAAAACATTCCAAAAATATTAAACGTGGAAACCCACCCTCCAACCCCGCTCCCCCAAGAAAAGAGGAATGTATCTAATATTTACATCTACTGGTGTGTGGTGTTGCTGACCCCGAATGGCTGTTGCCTTCCACCACGGAAGTGGCTGCCTTTCAGTGGTGGGTGAATGATCCCTATATTGGCTGTTTGTAAAGCACTTTGGGCTTCTTCTGGATGAATGATGCTATATAAATATAAGGTGGCATAACATCAAAATATTTCATATCACTCGGCAACATCGCAAGAAGACCGACTTCGGCTGTCACATGCTGAAAAAAGACAACAGGCACTACATACTAGCGAGACTTTTTCTTTTCTTTTCTGTAGGGCTGCCTACATCGGCATCCGCCAAAGCAGGGCTTCCCAAATTTGGGCCTCTAGCTCTTTTTGGACTATAGTTCCCATCATCCCCGATCACTGGTCCTGCTAGCTAGGGACGATGGGAGTTGTAGTCCAAAAGCAGCCAGAGACCCAAGTTTGCGAGACCCTGGAGCAGAGAGAACATCAGAGAGAGCCTTTAGGAGGATTCCCTCGAGCCATACTGCGGTCAAGCTGCACCAATGGCTCCAACGTCTCCAGAACAATTCTTTACATTGTTGCATTGCAGGTAATACTGCCACAGAAGCATTTTCATTGGCCCATTGGATGAGTCATGGCAGGTTATTAACCAGGCATAGGCACTGTATGGATGATGCATTGTTATTATTATTATTTAAGCAAAAGCCTATGACAGAGCAGTCGTTAACAGCAATACACACATTCAGTTTTCTTCGCCAACACCCTACTTGACTTTCTGGACAAAACGGTTTTCAAAGCACTTCTTAAATTTAAAAAAAAAAGCAGAAGTAAGAAAAAGCCTAGAAAACCAGTTTCGCCCGAAACTCTAGCAGGGCAGAATATGTTGAATGTACGTACACATGTATGCCATGCAAAAAGAAAAATTAAAGAAGAACCCATTAAAAACAGCCCACAAAGCACCAATATTTCTAAGTAAAATGCTGCAACCAATGGGAGGAAGGGTGTGCAATTCAAAACACCCCAGTTTTTAAACTGATTAAATAGAAGCCAATTAACTAAACAAGATAGACCAAGTTTCTTTTTTTTATAAAAAAAAAGTAAGAAAAAAGTGAAAGGTAGTTAACAAAATACAAAATACCAGCTTTTTCTTTTTGGGTTTGTTTTTTTTTTAAAGTGAACAGCAGGCCAGTTTCACAGGAGGCCAGTTTAAGAACATCCCTGAAACACCGAAGGCAAATTTGCAAAAGTGGAGGAGAGGTGGTGATCATGGCTAAAGTTTTTGTAGAATTTGGGGGGGGGGGCAAGAAGAGAAGAATTTTAACACGGCAAATTTAAACTAATGTGATGTTTATTTTTAAAGGCTTACAAAATGATACCATGTGTATCATTATAATAATTGGAACCCAAACTTGTTTCTCCCCCCGCAAAAAAAAGTAGATGATTATAACACAAAAAAATCAAGTTGATGTGAAAGAACAATTACTTTAAAAAAAACAAAACACAAAAAACCAGGAGGTCCTAATATTCTGTAAAATGAGGGGAGGATGCAGCTGTACGTCGACAGCTTTCATATCCTCATTTGAATAATGTGGCCTGAATCTGTCAGTTTATTCATCCTCCTTATGCTCAGTGTACTCTGCATCAACAACAAATTAAGTTGTAAATAAGAGACAATCATCACTTTTGTTTTTAAGCAGCTACTGCATGGAGAATTTCAATGTAGTATTTCTTTTTTCCCCGCTTTTCTTTTTTGACGTAAAGAAAAATGGGTCTCTGCAGCGGGCACTAATCTAAGCGGAATAGGAGGAACCCGGCTGCAATGGAACAATCAAAGGAGCACTTTCAAAATGCTCTTGTATAGTAGGCTAATGCCACCAGTAGACATTTCACAGATGCAAAAAGCGTGCTGTCCAATGGTGCTTAAAAAAATTACAAATTTACTGTGATTATATTTTTTTTAATGTCCACAGGGTAAAGGAGATAAACAGAACAGGGAGAGCATAAACACAGACCTTAAGAATGACTTAGCAGCAAAATAATAACAATAGCAAAATATATATATATATAACAACAGTTTGCCAAGATATATTATTAGTGAAATCAAATTTAAATTAATAAAAAAGCATTCAGGGGGTTAAAACATGCAACCAAAAGCAAGAGGGAATAAAAATAAATGAATAAAAGGATTTTTCCTACCTTTACATCTGAAAAGTACGTTTTCAGCATGTTGGAACTTGGGTAGCGGGTATAAAAGAACATGAGCTTGGCCTTTTTCAAGTGGTTTGGAGACAGACCTTCCTGCATGTAGGATGAAATTAGTTAAGGAAAAACGCTTTGCTTGGAAACTGATAAGACCTTTTGGGAGAAGAGTTGTACCTGGAACTGACCGACAAATTAACGTTCAAGTTGCAACACACCTCAGAAGGGTCAAAACTGGAATTGGAGAAAACCTACATGCTTTCTTGGGAACCATTCTTGTAGAACTTACTTCCATGCAAATCTTGAACTGGGCCTCATTTGTTTCTTAGGAGATGGTGGCGGAAATTTTGTGGGTGCAAGGTTGAACGCCAGGTGTGCGCTCACCTGTTGCTAAGGAAACAAACACACAATGCATATGTTTCCAAGAAGAAGATTCCCCTCTACCTTTTCGCAGTTACCTTTTGATGCATTCTTCTTCCCTCAGTACCACATCACTCACATCAAATTATGCTAAGAGTAAAAATAGAAATGTTTTTGCTGGGCATACACCATGTTTTCCAACATCTTTGGTGCTCTAGCTCCTCATGAATGGGGCAGGGGGTGGGAAAAGGTTTAGAGAACCCTTCTCCCAATTAGAAATAAATAAGAGATTTCCTTAAAGGTGCACAGAAATGTGTTTGGGGGGGCCAGCAAATATCGAGAAGTGGAAAACTGCCAATTGATCCATGGCCGCTTACCCTGCAAGGATACCTATTTATTCTTCAAACATCATTACCTTTCAGGCCTGTAAACAGAAATAACCAAAAGCATTCCCAAGGGAATGTGAAACTAACCATAACAATCTAGGCTTTCGGGACGGGTTTTTCCACCACCCCTCCTTCTCGGGGCTTCTTGGCACTCTTTTGTGTAGTGTTTGCTAGGACAGTTTTGGTCACATCTGTGCGGCAGGCTGGCCCTGCCATTTCCTCTGCAAATTAATGGCTTTATAATTTATCAGAAATGAAGATGCACGTGACAAAATCAATGTGGCCCCCACAAGGTCAATTAAGAATGCTCCCAGTAGCTTCTTGGAGGGCTGTTTCCTTTAAAGACAATCACCACACACACATGCACACAAATGTCACTTATTAAATATAACATGCGTTATGGCAGAGAAAGGTCAAACAAGTTCAACGTGATCTAGAAACTGAAGCACCTTCTCCTAACAGCATAATGGGGAGACAAGACACATGAGGTTCAGTGATACAACACACATTATATACTGCTCTTGGAGGGTTTATGGTTTTTGGTTTTTTTAATAAGCCTCTTTTTAAATAGAGCCCTCGCATCTAACAGTAGATTTTAAAATTTTACTCCTGGGTGCGCAGGAGAATGGAGGAAGGGTTTATTATTATTTAAAAGCACAAGATGTTGCAAAAAAAAAAGCTTTGTTTTAATTCTAAAAGGATATATAGAAAATGTTGTGGTTTAAAGCTCTTAATTTTATGTGACACGCACTGCAACATGCTTGGCTGAACTAGAATTTTTTTTTTTTTTAGCTTCAGATGCTTAATGATTACAAAGAAGATAATTTATGACTGACATACTTCTTGTGCCAAGAGAAGAGTTGAAAGAACCTACAGCTACCTCCATTAGACTGATAGAGAAGTCTAAAAGAGCATTGCGCTAGGAACCGCCATCTGTCAAAATGCATAAGTGAAATAATAGTAGCAAGCTGTCACCTATTGCTTAGCAATAAGAGTTTCAGACAAGTCAAAACTTCTCCAATAGAAATCTGTTTCATTATGCAATTGTCCTGAGGAAGCCTGCACACACACACACACACACACACACACACACACAAATATATCAACACTTTAAAAAAAAAAACAACCTGTATTAAAGCCCTAAGTAATGGATAATTTTAAAGCGGTTAACCCAAGACACAATTTCTTGGGAACTTCTCCTAGGCAGGTCCCATTGAAACAAGTGACACATGAAAAAGCAGAGCTCTCATTCTATTTTAGAAGAGCATTGCTAGGAAAGGACCCCAATTATAATCATGCTTATTGCATTATTATTTTTTATTAGGTTTGTGTGCTGCACTTCTCCCATTGAGTTCACAATGGGGCATCAGTCCTCTCCCTATTTTATCCTCAACAACGAACACATAAGGTAGGTTAGGTAGAGAGTTACGCAAGGTCTGGTAGTGCACTTCATTCTGCCTTGGGAGGGTGTATTTGAACTCAGACACGCAACACAACACATGTTCACAAAACCACCTCCACTTCTCAGTACTTACAAGGCAGAAATATCCGTTTACACGTATGGCTTGATTATTTCAAACGTAAATTTTCAGAAGCCCCTTTCTTCTGTTCCCCTAAACCTTGCCTGTCGTTCACAAAACAGTCCTTATACACCGTTTCTATTTTGTTTCAAACAGATTAGATTATTGCTAAAAAGCATCCCTAATAGTGACTATTAAAAAAAAGAGCCAGAGAAACGCTAAAAGGGCCAGTAGTGAGATGACCCCCTTGCTAAATCTGAGCTGACCAATTGGTTAATTTTCTTTTTAAGTGCTTGTGTTGAAAAGCAACTGTTCTTCCAAGAAAGCACTGGCTGTTTCCAGGATACTTACACACGCACAATGACTCATGATGGAATAGATTCAGTAAACATACAGCTGTACTGAACACGAGCTAAGCTCCATTCAAGGCCAGGAAAGAAAATGAGCACAAATAAATATTAAGGAGGTAAAAAGGGGAGGGGGAGGTAGAAGAGGGGGGGAGGAGGAGGAGGAGGAGGAGACGGCAAATAAAAACGCAAACAGGCTCTGCCCCAGCAGCTGATGTGGCTTGCCTCCGTACTCTTTGCCATAGCTTTGTGAAGACAGATGACATTCAGTTCTATGTGTAATGCAAAATAGACAATAACTGCTGAAACTTGAGCCAGCTGCCAGGTGTAAAAGAGAGAGAGAGAGAGAGAGAGAGAGAGAAGAGAGAAGAGAGGGAGGGGGGCAAAAAGAAAAGAAAAGATGATAAATCCATAAATTAATGAAAGACATCTGCTCAGGAACATAAAAGATCAGAGAAACTGTGTACTGCAGCTGAACCTAAAACAGTGTTCAAACAACGTGAGAATCCGAGTGTTATCTATTTACAAAGCACAACGCAGCCCTGCTTAACACAACAGCAGAAGAGGAGATGTAAGGAGCAGGAAGTGGAGAGAGGATAAAGGAAGAGACGCATTGTTGTATGCAGTTTTCCACCTCATGTTTTCCTTGTAGGTATACAATATGGATTGTTGCTCTTGATTTGAGATACTTTTTTGGGGGGTGGGGAGCAGAGGGGACTGGCATCTGGATTGTATCAGGTCTGGAAGCATTGTCAGAATTATTATATGAAGATGCCTTTATTTTTATCCCTTCCTCTTTGAAATCCTCTTATGGCCTCTTGTGTGGTTTTGTTTTGTTTTTTCGGTACCATAACCCAGCGTACCTGCCAAGTGAAAAGAATATATATCTTATGGGCAGATTGGTGCTTCCAACACACCTTTCCTGTTTTCAGTCATATATCCCCAGATTAATAGAAATTGTGCTGCATATATTTATTGGGTTTAATAATGCGACATCATATTGAACTCAAGCTACCCCCAATTTAATCAAACAGCTGTGTGTGTGTGTGTGTGTGTGTGTGTGAGAGAGAGAGAGAGAGAGAGAGAGAAAGAAAGAAAAGACTTGAATTTGCTGCAAGTGTTTTTATTTTGGCCAGAGAAAATAACTCAAAATGCTGTCATTCACAAAGCATTGTTTGTCCATACTGCATCCTTGCACAGCTTGGACAAGAACTGTCTGTCTTACTTCAAAAAAAAAGTCTTCCCCCCCCCTTGTGAATTTTATAGAAGACAACCCTTCTGAAGAGAAAAAGATTACAGCCTTCACCTGGGAAGATAATCTTCATGCATTACAAGAAGAAACAAAACCAAACCAAACCCACAATCTAATGTTGTGTTTCAATATTCTCTATGCAAATGGCCTGAGGCTGCACAAGGCTATTTTTCTTGAGATGCAAAGAGGGTGGCCTGACAAGGAAGATCAGGCAGCAAAACAATTGGCTGCCTGTTTCTTTTGCAATTTGAATAAAAACTTGAAAAAATATTTGATTAAACGTATTTAGTTTGCAAAGATATACAATACATTGGTGAACAAGGCAGGAACTCTGGATGCAGGTGCATCTTCTCATCTTGTTTAATGCAGCATACAAACATTAACTCTCTCCTTTCGCCCTCAAACAAGGAGGATAATGGTTAGATGCCTTTTACGGGAACAGCGAGATGTATTTGGGAACTAAAGCAAAAACAAAACAAAAATACCAGGAAGGGCTTACGCTACCAAAACCTGAACTTGGCTGTTATCTGCAAGGCTTGTGTTCTTATCCTGGATGGATTCTCCAAGGAAACAGATGTTGCTTTCTGTTCCAAAGGGAAGAAGAACGGCTGCTCTTAAGAAAGATTCTTTATATCGGAATATTCAGCCATGTGAAATAAAGAGGAACAAAAACAAAAACCTGGTCGAGAACAAACAGACCTTCACATGCCTCTCTCTCTCTCTCTCTCCCCCGTTTGGTTTTGCCTACGATGGATTCCAGATAACACAGACAAACAGGCAGCTGTGAGAAAATAAGAAGAGCAGCAAATTCTAGATATAGTGGTGGCCCCCAGTGGAAATACAATAGCTTTTGAAATATACTTGCAGCCAGCACCAACAGGGTGTGTGTGTGCAAGATGCTCTACTGAACAAGGGCTGTGGGCTGCTTCTGAAATGTTTGTTTGTTTGATTGGCATACCTCTTACATACAGGCCCAATTAATGGTCTGGGTGGTGCCAATTCCTGTGATCATGGTGAAGCGGGAGTCCCATGTAAGCAGCTCCAACTGAATCCTCCACTGGGGACCACAGAAAGTAGAAACACTTTTCCAACCTCCCATTGGATATGCTAGCTGGGGCTGATGGGAATTGTAGTCCCTAATGCATGGAGGCCGTCAGGCTGACAGAGGGAGCAGCCACCAAGCAAGCCTACACTGTTGGTGACCTGCCATGATGAATATGGCCCATCAGCTGCATGTTGGGTCTACTAGGTGTCAATGCCCTGTTTTGGCAGACCCAGGCAGGCAGCAAAAAGAGGAAGGTATCCAGGCCCAGGTGAGCATTATGATGAAGGCCTGTTGTACAGCTTTGCAGTTTCATAGCCAAGTGCACAAAGCCTCCTGCATTTTGAGTAACATCTTTAGGACTGGAATAGCAGCAGGGTAGTCAAGGAATCTCTATGGCTGTCCATAGGACATATCTGAGGATATGAGCACATGGATGGGATGGGGTGGAGGAAACAGAATTTAATGTATGGCCAGAACTTATGCTTGGACAGCTTGCCTCCATGCAGACTCTGTTCAGAGATTCAAATCTGATATATCCCCAGATGCATCATGTGAATGGGACTTTTTCTGTGATGTCTTAAAAAAAAGATGCAATCAATGGAGAAAAGGATAAGCCCCAGTTAAAACCTGATTTCACAAATTAAATCCCTGAGCTGTAACAGTGACATGGGGAAGGGGGTCTGAAGATCTAAATTTCTCCAAAAGTTCCAAGCTATGAAAATGTGAGAAGGGCAAAGAACCTAGTCAAGATTGCCCAGAGCACAGTGGATAAGAGAAGCTACGAATCAGGAAGATCTCAGTTTGCATCTGCCTGTGATCTTGCTAGTTGAGTTTAGGCAAGTCTCAGCCTCATCCCCCATTTTACGGGTTTGGGAACAATAATACTGGCTTAATTCACAGGGCTGCTGTGAGGACTGCAACTAGAAAATACACGTGAAGTGATCTGAATGCTTGGAAGCACTATACAAACATGGGAATAATAATAATAATAATAATAATAATAATAATAATAATAATGGAAAGGAGGAAATATTAAAACCAAACAAAAATCACATGCAACAGTAGCTCCAGAAATATGAAGAAAGCAATTAAGGGGCTATATATATCAGAGAAGGTGGGTTTTCCTCACACACTTCTCCATCCAGCCAGAGACATTATCACAGTTCAACACATCCCAGCCAGGCAAAAGCACTTAAGGAGATGTGGAAGAGCCTGGTAAGGGGTGTGGCCTGGTTGTGGGTGTGGCCTGGTTTTTGTTTTTGTTTTCAAAGGCCAAACAGAGATGACTGGAGGGCCACAGTTGGCCCAAGGGCCTGAACCTCCCACCTATTTTAGCTGTATTTTCACAGTTTTGATTTTGTTGCTTATTTTTGACACCTGCTTCATGGGCTCCTGCTATGTTTGCTTATGATCTACACTTTGCAATTTTACCACAGCCAGCCGAAAGAGGTTGGAACTGAATCCATCACTCGTTGTGTTCTGGGTTTCTTTTCCACTAAGCCCCTTTTTCCACTCAGGTTCTGTTCTCTTCCTTCCCTGCAATGGCTCTTTCCCTTTAGTATGGCTGATTCCCAGAACAGAATGACTCCCATGAATGGGTTCCTATTACTAGCAATGCAGGGAAACGTGTTGTGTGAACAGTGCATGGGCTATACACAGTTCACTCGACCACTAGGTCATTCTAAACATTCCTATTCCATCTCCACAATTAACACTAGAAACTGATTCAGTCTCCCATTCCAGTTCTCTTCATATCCCTTGAGGCTTAATGCAGAATAAGCCCAGCTCAATCTTCGTACCCCTCTACCCAAGGGTAACATTCAAAGACACTTAACTGCCATCCAAAGTTCAGTCTTAGCCAGTGAAAGCCGAAAGCTTCCACAGACCAAATCCTACAATGCTGAAGAAACATTAAGTGAGTGGGGCTTGTGAAAGAGTTTGTAGAGACAGGATCTCAATCCCTCCTATCAACTGCCTAGAACAAAACATTGTAAAAGCATTTTCTTCATGACCATTAAAACTTTCGCTTAAACCAATTTGGAAGCAAAATACGTTTGGAATTATTCTGGCTGAAGCAAATGATTCTGCAATAATAATTATATTAAAAAAACCTTGTGTATATTTAAGAAAAACATGTATAGACTTTCAGCAGATCCCACCGCCATCTTGGACAGTTGACAGTAACTGCTATGATTGCACAAGGGTGAAGACAGTTATCCATTTACAATAGCTTCCTTTCCAAGTAGGTGAAGCTAAGCCTACTTAGGTCAGCCGTATTCTGCAATGGACTATCTAATTTCAGATGATCAGTTTAGCCTTTATTTCAAGTCCTCTGTTGAAGACAGGGCAGATTTTATGTGGCCTTCAATAAAATGGCCCATTTCAGTTTATCTGAAGACATCCCTATATACCCTGAGGTAGACATTTGATGGTAGGGACTGGGCAATTTTCTGAAAAAACTAAATAGAACTAGAGTCACAATCCTAGCATAGTTCCTGGAAAGCAAATCCCAGTGAACTCGAAATATCTTCCTTCTAAGTGAACATGCATAGGATTGGTAGGCCAGTGACTGAAAGCCATTATGAAAATATAATCATCTTTCTTGGATTAAAATGGAAAGAGAGAAAACAGTGTCATTCCCCTCAACTAAATATTATTTAAGGCTTCAAAATTGTGGGGGATTCTTTTCTTTTCTTTTAAGGATGGAGGAAAAGAAGAAGACATGCCCTAAAAGATTAATCCAGCTGAAGTCTTATATCTAATTATACTCTCAAGCTTTGCCAAATGATTTGCTTTTTGTACGTTAGGACAAAAGATTTCTGTGTATGGCTGAGCAGAGGTTAACCATGCATACCCGGCAGCTGCACAAGAGCCGAGAACGGGACTCCGATCAGAAGGAAAGGGGGGCGGGGAAGGGCTTGATTTAGCTTAAATACAGCAGTACCTGTATCTTTATCTTCTTTTGTGCTTGCTTTGTTTACCCACTTGAGAAAATAAGTTAGGAGATCTACAAATGCATCACTTGTCCTTTGGGAGAGATGCAGCAAAGGCACTGTTAACATGCAGACTCACTAGGATTGCTTAAGAAAATAAGACGTTTGGATTTGATCTGAAATTATTTCCCCCCACCCCGCATCAGATTCTCAGAAGCCTTCTGGTTTTGAATATCACAAGTCAATTCCTTTCTGTTTCTTTCTTTGGCATCCAAATTTGAAAATTTCCCCAGGTTTTTTCCCCTCCCGAAACTGGGAAATATCATTTCAGCTTTAATGTGGAAGTTTTATTTGGAAAAGAAACTCCATCCCTTTCAGCGCAATCCTACACATTCCTGCTCAGAAGAAAGGTTTGTTGTGTTGGATGGGGCCTGCTCCCAGCTACATATGTATAGGGTGGAATGACATATCTATGCCTACAGAATTCCAGCCAATAAAATAAACACATAAGCAACGTTATTTGTCTGCTAGTGAACACTGGAGCTTAGGACACAGTTTGAGAAGGAACATCCCTGTCAGTGTGGCTAGGATATTTTGATACAGGCATAGGAAATGAAGGGAACTGGAAAAACAACCCTTCCAGAACTATATTGTAAGGTGGTGGCTATTGTTTAATTATTTATTTATTGAATTTTTAAGATAAAATAATAGTAAGGTAACAGGACAATACAGTAGCAGGTCTTATGGAAAATTCCCTACCAGCTCATCACTGCCTTTGGTAACGACTTTTTAACTAGCGCAGGGGTTACTTAGATATCTATAGAACCACTCGCAAATAAAAGCTCCACACTGCTGGACAATTCAAACAGGCAGCTGACATGGGTACCAAAAGTTTGGGCTTATTCAGCAGGAAAACTTGCCTCCCTTTGACAGCAGTCGAATTCACGCGAGGGGAAACTTCTACCCATGAAAGTGATAAAAGCCACTTGCTGCCTTCTGAGTTTTGTCAGATTGGGCAAAGACAGCAATGAAGCTGCCTTGAACATCACAGCCAAGTAGATGCTCTGCTTCGTCATGGGCTAATAATGCGACTCCCTCCCCACCTGCCACCTGCATTTGTTCCCTTATGCAGATGTCAAATTTAGGCCCGAAATGCTATGCTTGGGAGTGCCTTCAAAACTGCTTTTTTTAAAGCTGCCTATGATCTGCCTCAGTTATCATGTGTACAGTTTGACAGGTCAGGAATTGAAGAATGGGAAGTGGGGCTACTTGCCCTCTCTCTCCCAAACTTGGGTCTTTTTTTATGGCTTCAGTTATAGTTATAACGAGGTTTCTCCCCCAATATACATTACCAAGATGTTCACATCCAGAAATCTATCATTCTCTATCAGGATTAATGGATAAACATTAGAAGACAACCCATTTAAATCAGGCATGGGGAACCCTTGAGACTCCAGATTCTCCTGAACTACAATTCCCATCATCCCTGACCGGGCATGCTGAGGCTGATGGGAGTTGTAGTTCAGTACCATCCGGAGGTTCCCCACACCTGAATTAAAATTATCTCCTAAAACTGTGCCAGTGAGGAACTGCGCAGATTTGATCCACAACGGAACAAGCATAGTTTACCTTTTCTCCACTTTGTGAGAAATTTAGGACAAGAGGGCCTTATGCACGTGTCATTTCC